TTTCTCTATCTGATCCCATTGAAAATACAAAGACGAAAAGAAAAATGAAAAGAAAGTGTATAGATTAAAGTGAATGATAATCTTTGAAAATTCGTCCATTATCACCAAGGTCTGTTGCAGGAACAGGTTTCATGTGATGATGATGGTGATGATGATAGTGATATTGTTGATTAGAATAATCGAGCTGAAAACCACCTTTCGATGTGGGTTCACTGCCGGTCGATCCAAGATCGTCTAGTGAATTGTCATCATTATGCGATGGACTCATCTCAATTTGTTTTCTATGATGAGAAGAAAAACAGATTCCGATAGATTTGAATTAGGGAAAGAAAGTCTTTCTACTAACCGATCGCCTGTTTCCGAAGCTCGATCACGTTGTCGTCGATTTTTAAACCAATTCGATACTTGTGTTGTTGTTAAACTAGTTGTTTCTGCCAATTCGCGTTTCTCTCGTGGTGATGGATAGGGATTGTGTAAATACCAATCTCGTAGAACATTTCGCGACTTTTCTTTGAAGCAGTAACTTGTTTCTTCCCCATCCCATATGGTTCGTGGTAAAGGAAATTTCCGTCGTACGCGATATTTGCCCACAGCACCTAATGGTCTTCCTCGAAGTTTCTCTGCTTCATTGTAATGTGCTTGTAACCATAATTGTTGTAGCTGAGGATGACTACATGGCGCAAATTGATAACGTTCAAGAATATTATAGAGTTCACGATAGTTTCCTCGACGAAATGCAACAACGGCTTTGGCTTTCACAACACTTTCATGATTATGAAAATGCTCACACGATGGCAATGTCCACAAAAAATCACCTATAAGCGAAGAGAAAAGGAGTTTCTTCTGCGAGAAGTACTTTCGAAATCTTACCGAGCCGTTGAATATCATTACTCTGTTGGAGCACTTCACAAACGCAAGCGACTTGTTCGGGTGTAAAGATACTACCTATTGTATTGCTTGTCGGTGGCGTATTGATGTTACTAAAACCACTAGTGATCGTTGTTGCTGGTATCGGATTGCTTTCGAGCATTAGAAAAGAACTAGAGAGAAGAAGAAAAAAGATTTTCTTTCTTTTTTGTTAATAGTAACAGACATATCAATCGATCAATTGATTGACGAAACGATGCGTGAGCAAGAGAGAGAAACAGTGATTAAGTCTTGTCTTTATTTTCTTTCCTTTTTCTCGCTCACTACTCGTCTATGATTTCAAATTAAATTTCGACAGACGTGAAAATGCTAGTTTCAATCAACAAACTTGAAATAGTATAGACTAATCCTTGACGAACGGGCGGGGTGGGTATCCAATGAAAAGAAGATCGAGTTTTAATCAGATTACAATAACATATATATATATATATTCTCAACTGTTATTTCTCTATGTGCGCTCTCTCCTTTTTATTCTTTTCTATCGTCGTTAGATGTTTGACACGTCAATTTCTTTTCTCTCTTTCTCCTCCTATGGCATAGATGTTGAACGATAGGCGACAGAAATCTATGTGTGACAAATATGAACCAATCATTTTTGAGAACGAAACGAAGAGAACGAAGGAAGAGAGAGTATATAAAAAAAAGAAAAGATGGAGAGATTTTTTCCTTGTTGCTCTTTTTTTTTTGTATATTGATAATGTATGTATTCTGTATTTTTCTGATCGATATGAGAAATAAAAGAACAAGTGGATGCATCTCCTCTCTGATTATATGCCACTCTTGCTATTCATTTCTTTCTCTCCCTAGTGATTTTCTTGATATCTATGTGCACAGGCTATATACGCAGATAATTGACAGTAAACAGCTGTGCTCGATGCGTGTACACATACGCATAAAGAACAAATTCTTGTCTATCATCATCATCATCGAGTCAGTACCATTGTAAGGTTCATGATGGCATCATTTTCTCAGAACACATACATGCATATATACACGACGGCATATTCTCTCTCTCTCTTTCACATACATATTTTGAAAAGAGGCATGACTCTTCTCAAATTTCAAAAAAGCAAATTTGTCTTCTTTCTTTTCTGTCCGCGACAGCTGTTGGACAAATGAGAGAATTAGAAATGTTTGCCGTTGTCATACGCGTATTTCCATTCGATCAAGATGCGACAAGCATTAAACACATACAATGACATGCGCGATTGGTGACATGATTTCTCTCAGCAAAGAATAAATTTATTCGTCATTGGTAGAATCGTCAAAAAAAAAAGAATAGGTCCTGTTCATCAAGAACATACAAAACATATTATCACTCTCCCGCTGCGTTTAGTTGTGTTCGTCAAACATCCATAAATCAAGACAATTAAGTGTAACCAACTTGTCTTGTTGGAAATATTAAAAAATGAATGGATGAATGAGTTCGATGGTCGATGCGCATCATCACCGAACTTATCAATTAAAGCGTGCATCTGTTACATCGAATATGACTTTCAAAATCGTGATATCCTTTGTAAATGGTCTCAAATTTAGCTCAATACATAACCGAGAAGGCCTTCATTCGTTGTATTTTCACAGTTCGAATCGGGTGAGATGAAATAATCGGTACCTGATCGACAACGATAGATCGGTGCTGCTCTCGAATTTGTACTTTGATCTATGTAGATGTAACCTAAAGGTCCCCACGCTTCTTGATTTTCACAATTTTGGTGAATACTAGGAAAATTTCTCTTATCGTGTGTGCGAACACATTCGAAGATTAATTTCGTATTCGCTTGATATTCACGGAACAATTTCCATGTTCGTTCAAGTTTGTAACCGCTTGGTAATGGTCGTGTGGTCGTGAAATGACCATCGACTGAATGCAGAGCCCGTTTGAGCAACACATAGGGAAGATGTTGAAATCCACATGAGAGTTTATTCGGGATGATATCAAAACGATTTGTCAACGCCCAAAGACTCCAAGAACGTTTATATTGACCGGATGCATCCACTAGGCCTAGACCGAGACCGTCTTTTGTTTCAACTGGATGATCTTTCATCCGATGATAAACAAACAAATCAACATTTGGTGTTGATAGAATATACTCGAAAGCTAGACATAACTGATCATGTTGTTTGTATTGATCGGAATATGGAGAGATCGAATTAATTCCGTTTTCTGTTAAATAAACTTTATGTGCTGATGGCGTATTTGGATAAGTTTGCATAAGCCATCCGACGAGTCGGTGGATGTTTCCAAATGTTATTTTCGGCCAATCATTACGACCAAACTCTGCGTGAAGGAGACTTGGCGGATAGGAATGATAAGCCAATGCCCATTGACGACTGCCTAATTGTGGTACTAATTTCGTCAAAAACGTGCGTGCAGAAATGACCTATTTAAAACAGAATGATCGATAGAAGAGGATGAGATCATATAGACGTACGGGACTGGCATTATTAATATAAGTATCCAACGATGAATCGAAGTGATGTTCAAATGAAACAAGTACCGGTGCTTGGGGTTGTTCTTGACGGATTCGATCGTAACCAGCATTGTAAACTTGAGCATAACTTGTCACCCATTTGTCAACATTGCACGACTTTCCATTTCCACAACCAATATTGTACCATTCAGCAGCGTTGACTTCGTTCATAATCACAAATTCTGTCACACGTCCATGTCCGTTTTGACCATTGAAGTACCATGCAAGAAAACCAGCAAAACGCCCAAATGCTGTCGGATTGTCAGGTGCACAGAAGTTTTGATTAGCTTGTTTACAGTCCGTATTACTCTGACGAGCCCAGAGTGGTGGAATGATGAGTACTCCTGTCACCATCAATTGTTTACTAGTGTAAAGTTGAATCTCTGGACCATTGGCTGGTATATAACAATAACCGTCATAAGCCACTTCATTACCAGAACAAGGTGTACGTTTTTCTTGCGGTTGATACGAAGCCCTATGAAATTATCATATTGTACCTTATTACTTGCAGATCTTTAGTACATACCAAGGTAAATTGACGACTACTCCTCCAGCTCCATTACCAGTGATGTCTTCTATTTTCCAACCATCGGTTTGGATTGCTTTTATTCCGTATACTGATCTTTGGGGATAGGTGTTCGGATTATTTAACTCATCCAATGTTGGTCGATAAACTTTTCGGTCAGTCAGTGCATTGATAAAAAATACTTTCAGGTACGCAATTGATAGGACAAAATACAGTAGTTTTCTCATGATTAAGACATTTGAGTGCTAAGTTTTTTGTTTTCAATATATATATGGCCGATGAAAATCTTTTAAGTCTGTTGATCGCCAAGGTGCTTAGTGTTTTGTTTTTGAAACAAGTATCGAGTGTGATGTAATATCTCTTTTATTACAATAAGGTCGACAAAAAATAATTATCGATTAAAAATCATTTTGTGTAATAGAATAAATAAAAATTCAAACAGTGAGACGAAGAGCAATAGAATGGTACGGAATGTGTGAATTAAATAAAACGAAAGAAATGAAAACAAAGAAAACAAAATACGAAGAAATCTAGTTTGATATGGAATTTGTTTAATCACTGTTAATCTCGTAGATACGACCAATCCGAAGTAAGAATTCTCGTAGTATATATCGTAATTCAGCTTTTAAATCAAAGACAACCATTTCACCAACTAGTAAATAGATGCCTTTCGAAAAATATTTGAACTAGACGAAAGAATCATTATCAGAAATAGTTTCCATGAAAATCTCGTCTCAAACATACTCGTTCTTCAGTTAATTTCAGTAGTTTTGTGAGATGAAGGATAAGAACGTTCGTCCATAGATCACGATGATCTTTAGATTGTAGGGTTAAGTAGTATTCTAAACTATCACGACTTAATCTAAACAAAAAAAGGAACACAGGTTGTTCAAAATCAAATTTTCTTTCAACAAACTTGAGTATTCGTTGTTTGAGTACATCATACGAGCTCGAATGTTTTGGATCACTGTATAGACGGAAAAGAATACGGAATGCACAAGCAATACTATTGGTTTCCTGTACTACTAAATTCGGCTTCGCTTTGCCTCGATAACCTAAAACACAGACGTCGATCCAGTGATCAATTTCCATCTGTATTCTTACCCGCTTTCCAGAGAAAGTTTCTTTGTTCATTATTGGAATTAAATGCACGAGCGAACATATGTGATTCAATCAAGCAATCGACAAGTAAGATTAATTGATCAAAACTCATGTATTCGTACATTCCATACGCGTTGTGAATTTCATCCGAAGAAGAAAAGTATGCCGAAGTATCTTGGCCAATTGTCGTATTTGCTAATGCCTAGAACATATTGAGATGACATCGAAAGTTGGGAGAGAAAAATTGATTTAATCAGAGCAACACAATCGAACATGCATAGATGATAGTCTACCTCCGATTCGCTAGAAGAAGATGGTCTCTATGATTAAGAGGGTAGTTAGAGTTAGTGTTTTGTAAAGTGAAAAGAGGTCTTTTTCTTTGGAAAAGAATGGTAGTTACTTACACGTGCGACCGAGTTGTATTGTGAATCTTCTTTTTTACTTGTAGATGAATAGAACACGATATTATCGATTGTTTGAATCAATTCGATTTGAACGAGAGATTTAATTGTTAAGATTTGAAAAAAGGCCAAATCGGAATTGATTTCTAAAACTTGAGATTAAAGTTTATCTTTGAAGAATTGAATTTCATTACTTGTTCGATCAGTGGGTGAACTTATTGACGCTCGTGAGTGAAGATTGATTTCTGTTTGATCAGATTGAGCGCTACTTATACTGACACGGGCTAAACGATTCTGTTGACTTGAAGCAGACTCAACTGCTGCATAATCAAATGAACTATCAGTCCGATCGAGCATCTAAAAGTAATTCAAAAAGTAAAGTTGACATTCGCTTTTGTTCACTTGGATTTTACGGATATTTCATTAATCATCGCCATTGTTGAGCCATCTGTATCAGGTCGCCATGTGAGAAGCCTGAAATTCACTCTAGTACAACGAGATCGATATTTAACTTGACAAGAACTCACATTTCTGGCAGAGTCGAGCGGAAAACTTCAAGTATACAAGTACATGTTTTTTGCCAGATTGTCGGTGTGAAGCGTTGACCGCAAGCAATAACAAAATTTTCCAAACAATTCGTTCCTGACTTTGCTAATTGTTCGTTATCTTCAAATACACATTCATTTCATCAATATGCACTTGTCTTCGTTTCAGAATAAACAGTCTCTTACCCTGATTCACACACCATTTCAATTGACAATATAAGTCATTGACAAGGGATTCAGGAATATCATCGTAGAATTGAGAACATACATCCACAATAGCATACAAGGCATGGTTACATGTCGTTGTCATCCATTCAATTTTCTAATGTGAAAGAAGAGATGAAAAGTGCTAGAAAGAAAAACTTTTGTATTCACTTCGATTTGTGTATCGGGTAGTTTCATATTATCGAAAATACGAAAAACAATATTGAACAATTCAATCCACCAACTCTGAGTAAATGATTCACCATATGTTTTCATAATCTCAAACATAACTGTCAACGCTCTATACAAGCAATATAAATAATTCCTAACCCAGTGTATTATAAAATAATTTACCGTGTTCGTACGTCTAATTTACATCGACTAATGATGCATGATAGTTCAAAGAGAATCGGAAACCATCCTTTAACCCAAATACGATCTTCTTCCGAAACATTAATCAAATCTTCTCCTGCGTGTTCACGAAAAATCTAAACGAAATTGAAAATGAACTTTATACTGGAACTCTTGAAATACCAACCTGTGGCTTTTCGGCAACATATTTTGCGCATTGACGGATTAAACGTATTGCTTCCATAGACGTATCAGGAAATGAAATATTGCAAGCAAACTCTGACAAGCATTTGACTGCATCTTGAAAGCTATCAAGTACGGATGCAAAATACCGATCGAATACCACACCTGCACAAAGTTTAGATGAGAAAAGTTAAACATCTGAGTTCATTCCACATACCAACAATCACTGTACACGTTTGAAAAGCTAATTCGACGATTTGGACATCTGTGTCTGCAGCAGCCATTTGAAAAACACTGAAAATGTTCTTCCAGCCCGAGCGAATATTTTTTGCTTGGGCATCAACAAAATGGCTGATGCAACGAACGACCATATCACGTATGGTGATTGACCTACATGACCGAATGAATGAGAGAAGTGGAGAGACACGATGAAACTTACGAATTCTTTTTCATAATAATTTCAAATGGTTTAAGAAATTCTTTTTGAAAACGAAAATTTGGAAATTCGCCTTTCTCAAGAAACTTCATGGACAATTGTCGAAGTGAATCGACTGCGAAGAACGAGACATCTTGTAATGGATGACAAGCAGCCTAATAAAATAAGGTTCAATGAAACTAACATTTCATACCAGAAAGTTTTCCTACTTTGTTGAAATGATCACCAACAATCTCCCAGATTCTTGACCATTGAAGTCGAATACGTCCCATGTTGTAATATGAAATCTCGACTACTTTAAGTAAACTAAACATACGAGGAGGCGTGGAATACAATTCATCCATGGACACGTGACATAGACTTTGGACGAATGCCACTAGAGAAACAAGGAAGATAGAGACGAGAAAGAGCAAAATGATTTCATACCAATGGCATCACCATCTAAACGAGCCGAGCCGGAAAATATACGATCGACGGCAACTACAACATTTTGTGTCGTGGTCACATGAATTTGATCTTGCATGGACTGTATACGTTTTAATTGACCTAAAATACATTCGCTTCTGTATAAAACATTCATTCGACATTTTAAACTTACTTTTTTCCGTATTGAAAAGATTATCAAATTGTAGAGCAAATGTTGTTGGCCCATGGTGAGTAGATACATGTGAATGATGGAAATTGTTTGAAACAGATAGTTTGGTTTTCGTGTCGCTAACACCAAATAGCTGTGCTAATTCCAACTGGCTAATACATTTCAGAATCTATTCAAAAATATCGTCGAAATGATTGTTAATAATTAAAAATCTTCGATACTTACATCGTACCAAGCGTCGCCCAGATAATTTCCATCCGTTTGGGCAATTGATATCAATGTTTTCAAACATTCGACATTCTTTGCTTTGATTTCCATCACTTGCGAAGCCGTCATTAACAATGTAAAACGCGACAATGTTTGTATGAAAGCATTGCGTTCCAACTAAAACATTTTCATTCCTAACTGGTCTCATCAAATCTTACCTTTTACATACCTCCATATGAAAAATGCAAGCAATACGAATTGCGTAACTAATGCCTGTTAAGCATAGATTCGCCAGATCGATATGATTACTATCTTGAAGATTGACACTAAACGCTGCTAGGCATGGTGACCATGCTTTCTAAAGAATTCAAGGGAAGAAAAACAACATTTTTGATATCCAGTATAAAATTTGTTTTACTTGAAACATCGGTCGAACATGTTCTAAATGTTTTGCAATGGTAAATTCTTCGTTACTCGATCCAGCATTGGACATTAGATCTCGAGCAATGGTTTCAACATCTTTCATTTGAACATTGAATAACAATTCGCGTTGTTTATCATTGGTAATACTTTCTTTCGTTCCACGTTTCATTGTTGTTGTCACTTTCAATTTGATCTCTTCGTTTTTGATTTCATCGTAGATTTTCGAAAGAAACTCTTCCGGAAGATCACGACTATCATTAATACCTCGATTCATTTTGATATACTGCTCCTTTGTCATCTTCTTCTTTACCTAATCAACCGCGATTTCATTGAAACGGAAAAACACGAATGTACTTTACACTTACGTTAACACTATGCAAATCGGTGGTTAGCATGATAACTGAATAAGCTAAGACGTAAGCAGCGTCAGCACTGGCGAATATTTCCAAACTAACAACCATAAACTGCTAGAAACGTTCTAATTTTACAAACGTTCTTACTTTGGATTGCATTCGCAGAATCTACCTGCGAATTTTTCCATTAATCGATCGATCTTTTGTGCTTCGCCAGGTAAACGAAATCCGGCAAGAAACTTCCGCAATGCTCCGAGAAATTCCATATTTGTGAAATCTAATTGATCGATATAGGCGTACATGATTTGTTTATGATGTTTGTCATCCTCTCCTAGACAATCTCCAATCACGGTCTTATCCAATAAATCTTGATATTCATGAAAGAATTGTGCGATTTCTTCAGGTTCTCTGCTGAGAAGATTCTTTTCACATAGATATTCCAAGCCTTTCTTAGCACTTTGATTGAATATATCAATGCCTTTTTCGAATAATTCTTTACGTTGACGAATAACTTCAAAATCATTGATATTTTCCGACGATTGAGAAGAGTTGATCGAACCACTCGAATCTGTACGACGCATACCACTGCCAACATAACCCGACGAGGAGCGATTGCTATCCTGATCATATCCATTTTCGTTCAGTGGTTTAGAATCAGGTCCTTTAATATCAATAGATAATTTCAACATCAACCAAAAATGACAAACATATCAAACCTAAATTGCTCTGCAGATGCGGATTGACATACAGATCTTTACTCCATTCCACCATACACTTCAAGATCGAAACGAGACATTCAAGGCCTTTCATACGTAAATTATGCTCTTCAGTTTGATTACAACCTATGAGAAAGAGTTTGTAGGATGATAGCAGTGGGATTTGGTCATACCTAGTTCTACTGCTTGTCGACCTTGTGCGGCGCGTGAAAGCACAATCACTAATCGTTCGAAAATGTTTGCTGATCGCATTGAACAATCATAATTGATGAATAAATCAACAATAATTTGAGCATCTATTTACAAATTGTGGTCAGAAAATGTCTCGACTCGTACGACAAGAGAACCGACATACCAGCAGAGACTTTCGCTAACGTTTGGATAACTAACCACTTGTGTCGAAATGAACTTGTTGATGTTTCAAGGATTGTCAAGAAGATTTCGCGAAATAATACCTATGAATACAGTGAAAACTGAAGAAACAGTGAAAGAATTGATTTTACTTCAATTTGAATTTTTAAATGTGATTTGAACTTGTCGAGTAGTTCGACAAAATTGAACAACGCCATTTCGAATAGTTCCGGAATGGATGAAACACCATTACGTGACAATGATACACATAGATTTGTTTTGATTAAGTGCAGAAATTCAACCGATGAACGGAAAAACGGACCCGACGTTTGAAGAATTTGCATTATCAAACGTAATGAAAATATACGAGATTTCAAATCCAAATTAATACTAACAAAACAGAAGAAAATTCTTTTCTTTTCTTCGAAGAGGCGAACATACCGTGGATCCGGATTTCCTTTATCTTTAATATCGCGATCTGATAATTTACACAATGCACGAAATACATAAAACGCGTTTTTGAAATAATTATCAGCAGATAGTTCGTCGGCCGACAGAGAATTGGACATGGAGAATTTATCGATAGATTGTTCGTCGATCGATTGAGTATCTAAATTATCATTTTCTGTTTGTATTGTCACTCGATTTCTCAATTCTCACCTTTCTCATTTTGAGATATTCTATCGCCTATTTCGCCTTGGTTCGATTGAACATCGTCAATAATCTCATTGGTTGACAAGGCTGTATTTGTTCGTTCTTGCGTTGCTTCATCTAAATTGATCATTTCTATCGAATGACACTAAAAATACTTTTGAAATCTCTTTACCATAACAAATTTTCTCAACAAGTTCATCGAGTATTTCTCTAACAATATTTTGTTCTTGGTCGTAATCATTGGATGAGACACACACTAGTTCTTTCCGTTTTCGTTCGTTTACTACGCTCTAAATATAGTGGGCAAGGATTAATCTTTCTTGAGACATCATTACAAACCATTTTTTGTTCCATTTTGGCGAATATTCCAGTTAAGATTTGTGAAAGTGAACCTTGGGCTGTGGCTTCATTGATCCGCGATCGGCTTGTTAAATATATATTAAAACATGTCTTGACGATTTGTAAAACACTCCGCTGCTGTATTTCAATAGTCTGTGATGTCATTATCGTTAGACAGATTTTGATAATTTGTAACTCGACTTTTTCTTCCGTTTGTACGCCATGAAAACATGCGCAGATCAATGTGACAATCCGATCAATGAGAAGTTTCGACGGATCAGCTGGATCTGGTGCACTCCCAATCAAATGGCCATGCACAAGAAGTTTCTACGAAACAGAAGGCACATGTGCTAGTGTATTTGCAAGTCTTTGATATACTTGAAGACAATCGAGTGATGTATCGACCATTCGGGCATGATTCGACGCACAAGCTAATTCAAACGGAAGAAAAAAGACTTCATTGATTGATGATGTACTAGAATAACAAAATGAGTTGATAATTTATCAAAAGATGGCATTTACTTTGCTGTTTGAGCATCCTTGGTTACGGAAGCTAGAAGAAGAAAAATAAGCTGAGGTTTGATAAAGTGATCGAACTAACTCAGAGCGGATTCACATGCACGCTTCAGTTGTTGATATTGTGATTTTTTAATATCTTTTTCGTTCAGTAAAGTTTCTAATGCTCGTTTAAGGAACATCTCATGGTTATCCAGATGTCCTGACATTGATGTACCACCTCCTTTGGGATTCTTTTGAGCCATTAAGAATACCGCTAAACGAAGAAACTAAGTAAAATCTTTATTGGAATATGTTTTTCACACAAGTCTATTTCGAATTTAGTCGCGAAACCGATTTAGAAAAACTGCCACGAGTACATCGATTTTGTTAATTATACTACTTTTCTTATGACTCATAGGTTTGAGTCGTCGCTCTACATACACTTTATAGGTGCTCAATCTCAAATATCTGGATGAATATTTAAACTCAATAAATCAGCCAATGTTGTTCAAATGCAGTAGATGGTGCTGTGTAGCAAATATTTATTGAACCGAGAGAAACGCATGTGTCATTCTGTATTATATCAAATATTATCCTCGATGTTATTTTCACAACTTGCGAATGAGCATTGTTCACTTAGTAATGACAAGAGTGTGCACACATGAAGGTCTATCTATCCGTTTCTTGCTGATTAGTAGATGTCACTTATAATCCTTCCAATATGAATGACCGAACTCATGCTTGGAATAATAATGCAAATTGAATCATATGTACGTGTCGAATAAAATCAAATCATTTGTTTCGCATTAACAAACCCACGCTTATCAACTGATCATGAATCATCGTCAATGTCAAATTCTCGACAACGATTGGATCACGCAATCTTTGGGAGTATTCCAGTAGCACGTAGAAATAAACAGAACGAATACTTGGAAAATGGAATCAAATGTAGACTCACTAACGGCGTCAACAACAACTGTAATACCTTCAACGGTGTCTCCAGCATCCACTTTTGTGAATTTACTTTTGAATGAAGTCAACAATACCGATGTTCATAATTTGTTAGATGTTCAACGTTCATTGTAAATGTTTATTCTTTTAACGAGAAAATGCTAAGCTATTTTCTATCTACTGTTTAGTCTTCATCAATTGGATAAAACTGTGGAGAAGATTGATGGAATCAATAAGCTTTCTGCTAAACGTTATTTAGATGCTTCACGAGACTTTTCTAGTCATACACAGATGTTAACAACAATGAAAACCGATCTTGATTACATCTTCAAGCGAATCAAGTATTGAAAATCGAATAACTAATGTTTTATGTTTACTTTCCGTCTTTAGATTGCTAAAAATACGTTTGAATAAAAAGTATCCGGATGCTTATGCATCAGGTAAGAGGTTTCATTCGTGTGAATAGTACACATCCAATAAAATAATAGTTCTGCGAGCGAATGCCGCACAGAATCCCTCTGCCGATGATGAAGACGATGATTTAGCTGAATTTACAACACCTACGGTAAATTGTTGTCTTATCGCATAAGATCTTGTTTTTTCATCATTCGTCTTCTTCTAGAAATCAACGACTAGTCCAACGCTTGTCAAATCGAAAACAATTGATAGTGTGCAATTTGCAACATTACCCTCGTCATTACGTGAAAGTTCCAGTTCAACTCAGTTATCCAATACTGATCAATCTGCAAACTCATTCAATCCGGTGCTTGATACATCAGCTGAAGAATGAGATATTTTATTGTAATTTTCCGAAGAAAAAGAAACCATTAAATGATTCATAATAACGAATGCTTATTGTTTTTATATAAATGCATTTTTATTGATGTTTTAGATCGAATTTTCTTTTTTCACTAGCACACTCTCTTGGTAAATATCCTTCCGATCAGATTTGCAATGACTAAACATTTTTTGTAGTAAATATCATCATGGCTTCGGCAAAGATCGACGATCTTCTTCAATGTCCAATTTGTCTCGAGATCTTCTACGATCCGAAAGTTCTCGATTGTCAACACACGTTCTGTGCCAATTGTTTGAAAGTTCACGTAGCTGCATCTGCTCGAATGTTCAGTACATCGAATGCTGTTGATTGTAAGTTGATGCAAACTTACATGTTTTCTAAAACTCTTGGAATGTTTAGGTCCAATTTGTCGTCGACGGACAAATCTGATCAACAATTCAATCGATAGCCTTCCTGGCAATTACATCGTACGTGATATCATCGAGCGTCAATATGGATCAAGTGCACCTGAACGTCCACCTGGTTACACTCAACAAATTCGTGACCGGATTCAGAAACTACAATCAGGCGAACCGGAGAAAAAGGAAGAAGAAACCGATTATATGGAATATATCAAACCAGCAGCAGCTGCTCTTGTTGGTGTGCTTGGTGGTTTACTTCTCGCAAAAGGCGTGAAAAAGATGTGTGACAATAATAAGAAGGAAGGTGGCCATTGAAGATAAACTAAGAATTCCCCTTTCGCTTTTCCTTTGTTTTCTTTTATTTTTCTTTGTGGTAATAATTGTACGTTTGATAAATTGAGTTCATCGAATAAAAACTTTCCTCTCCGTTTGAACTTCAATAATCTTTTCGCCTTGAATGAACCGTTTTCACATAAGATGTTGATAAAATTATGTGAGCATTGGTATTTAAATTGTTGACTTTCAATAGTATTGTTATTTTTTTCACTTGTTCAGAACAATGAGGTGAGAAAATAAATGACTAAATCCGTAGAAATTGTCAATGTAAATAAGAAATTGTTTCCTGGAGACAAATAATAAGGTCGAACTTATGATGTTCAATTCCATCCGAACGAATTTGATTAACTCATTTAAATACGAATTTTACTCTTTTTTTCTCTCTTTGCGTCGACATGAGTTTATTATGAATCTCCAAGATATTGAATCTGCAGGTGTACAGACTGCGACGAAGAGAAAGAAAATTGATTACGAATGACACACTGAGTTCAAACAAAAGTTTTTTCTTCTTCTCTCTTTCATTCTCTTTCTCTCCCTCGAATTATTTCTATTGTTAATCAATTCAACAAGATTTACACGATGGACGGACTGGATCGGATAATTACTATCACAATTTGTAGTGCTGTAGGTGCTGTATCGATGCTTGCCATCATATGTTTTCTCATTTGGTTCTTCTGTCGTCGTAAATCACATGACACAGTTCAACACCGAAAAGCTTCTCTATTTCGTCGACAACACTATCAGCGTTCGAATAAATTCTTTTCGATTAAATTCCATAACAATGCCAGCAAACGGCTGGGAAAGAGTCGATTTAGTACGAGTGATTCATCGGTATCCTTGTCATTCAATCCACCGCATTTGATCAATCAGAATGTGAGAAATTTAAAGAAGTTATCAACACCGACGAATATCGAACGGTAAAAGAAACGGTAAAGGAAAGTATTTGACAACATATTCATCTTTTAGTTTTAAGAAATTAACCAGCGAACCGTTTTATACTTCATCCTCATCACAACTTGCCTTAGCCGTTCAATCAAACCAGCAGCACTCGTCTAATTATCAATTAAATACTCTTTACTTTCATTTTCTCAATGAACTTAATCATATTCTTTGTTTACAACACGAACAACGTTCTAGTACATCTCTCCGACACTCGCAAAGTTGTCGACGAGCGAACGATCTTTTGCCCTTTGATTACTGTCGGTCATTGACACCGTCGACAATCACACTTACATCATCAAGTAATGACAACTCGCTCGATCCGATCTATCGAAAGAATAGTCATCTCAACTCTACGTTGATACGTAAAGCACATTTAGCACAAATTCGAGATGATACCATTGTTTTGTATTAATAATTTAACATGATTTGATTTGAACATCAATAAAGAAAGCATTGAAATATATTTTCTCTCGATTGAATATCTACTACCATCTAAGTGTGTGAGTACTACCTAACGGAGGCAATATCAGTGGATTTTATTGGTTAAAACTGAAAACAAAATCCGAATAGGAATGAATATATCGTAGTTTTTCAATAAACATCATGAATCAAGAGCGAGTTGATGAGGAATTATTACGTGAATATGCGTGTAATGGTGATCTGCATCAGATTCGAACTTTATTAACAAATAAACCGAATCTAAATATTAATAGTCGAAATGCTATGAATGGATGGTATGAATGAATAGATGTTCACAGACGAAACTCTAGTTCTTCTCTCTTCAACTCAATAGGACAGCTTTGCATTGGGCGGCGAAACGAAATCATACTGATGTAGTCAACTATTTACTCGACAATGGTGCTGACCGAAGTGTACAAGCTCATGATCAATCAACAGCAGCACACGTTTGTAAAAGCGATGCCCTTCGTGAAATTTTACAATCGGATACGTCAACCAGTACGAGTTGAATTCAATGATAAGACGTACGATAATCATCTTGAACCTTTTCTCTTATTTCAGCTTCGGTTTCACCTTGCACAGATGAACTTCCAATCATTCCCAACTATCTTCGACATCCAGTTTTCCCATATGTTTCACCAGTAACTCAAACAACACCTGTTACTTCAGTCGAAACACAAACGATTACTCTTCTCTGTCGTATTGCTGACGATCCATCGGAAACAGATTTCGTCGAGTTCGATTTCAACAAGACACCAGCGATCGGTGCATACGAACGACTTTTAATCCAGATCTGTCATGAACTTGAAATTGATCGCGTTGACAAATTACGTCGTTTACCTTGCATACGCGTGCGTAATGATGGTGATGTTAAACGTTTAAAAGATAATCACATGTTAGAAGTTATTCAAATAAAATCTGAAGAAAAAACGACTTGATCAAATACATAACAACATGTTTAATATTTATTTAGATTGACAAGAGACATTTTGTCAATTCTCCATCCCCAATTAGAAGCGATCGATCAATATAAGTCTACGTTTGATTATAAACAACTTGCATTATCTCTAGAAATCGAATCTTTCAGAGAGAAGGAAAAAAATTGTCATAACAAAAAAAAATCAATGACAAGTGTGATGACATCGATCGATCCCGAATATTAAATATGAGCACGTCGGACACTCTGTACTTCTTTCTTGCAAGAAGAATTCGACTTTAATTAGGAAAAGATATATTTCTCTCGATAGGGAAGATGAAAAAGACGAGAGATCGATGTTTACTCGGGGATTTTCTCTCGTTCGTTACGAACGAAATTCGCCGTTATCTAATGAGAAGAACAAAAGAATCAAGATCATATAGACGTAGACATACAATAACGATAGTTGATCAACTTCGAACATTATGAGTCCAACAAATCAATATCTGTAAAGAGAATAGATCATGAAGACAAAATTAGCCTTAATTTCTCTTATTCAATTATTTCTTCTGCATTCATCAATATCAGTGCAACTGGGCCATGAAGTTGGAAGTACATCGATGGATTCAACTCATTACGATCGACGAATTATTCATCAACAGTGTTCATTGAACAACAACGAAGGTAAAGATCTTAATCGAGCAAGTTTTTGGGCAACTGTTCGTTCGCCATCACCATCAACAGCGAACAGTACAAATCAAACTCAATTTCTACCATTTCGTCGACAATTAATCATCAATAATGGAGAAGATCGACTTGTCACTCGATCTCCATCTTCGAATACAACCAATACGAATCAATCAACACTCTTAGGCATTGATCAAGCTACCATTGATATTATTGTTGATAATCAAGTAGAATTTTCTTCTTCATCTCAGATCGTGCATGACACATCCGTTTTTTTTAGATCTCTGGCAATTTAACAGTATACGTTCTTGTCAACGAATGTCTCGATTGTCCGTACGAAGTCATCGCACAAGATCTTTCATCAAGTCAAGTACTTAACTTAACATTAAATACCAAATATACCTATCGAATTCGAATTGAATTGGGCAATGCTTCTTCGTGCTTGGAAACATTAAATCTATACGAACATGGAGAATATACTTTGAATGTTCAACAATCAACAGGCTCAGCATCGAATTCAACTTTAGATACTGGTTTGAAATGCACTTTAACAACAAGTCGCTTAGCAAACAATGTTTATACACCATTGATTGTTGCTGGAGTGATTCTTCTAGCTCTCTTTATCTTCTGTATATTTGCGCAACGAATGAAATTACGGGAATATTTGATTAATTTAAAGAATCGATGCTTTAATCATGTTCCACCGCAAGAATCTACACATTCGTATGATTTACAAACATGTCCACCTGTAACAACACTTTGTCAATCCGGTATTGATACAGTTAATACGGCAGAATGTAACGCTAATGGATCGAAATTACCGCCGATCCACAAAGTTTCTCAAGTGATCGTTCCACGATCGAAACGATTACTGAGTCTCGATGCATTCCGTGGTGTGGGTATGTCGCTAGGACAGTATAAGTTTTCCATTTGTTTCCTTTGATTTTCGTAGCTTTAATTGCAATGATCTTTGTGAATTATGGCGGTGGTGGTTATGCACAATTTCAACATTCGTCATGGCATGGAATTACCGTTGCGGATGCTGTTTTTCCATTGTTTGTTTGGATCTTAGGAGCTTCAGCAGTGTTTTCAATCAAAAATGCGTTTGATAAAGGCGTATCGAAACGAACACTACTGATGAAAGTTGCAATGCGTACATTGAAACTATTTGTAAGCTTTCCATTGCGTACAAATGCATTTTTCATACTAGATTGCGCATATTTAGATCATTGGTTTTGTTTTGAATACTCGCTTTAAAGTTGATTTAAATCACGTTCGAATTTTGGGCGTTCTGCAACGCTTTGCTCTCGTTTATGGTGTAGTTGGTACAATTGAAGTTCTCTGTACCCGGTCAAGACAATATTCTCTAACAGCAAATTTGAATAACAATAATAGTAATGGCAAACACACGTCCACTATGACGACAACAACTGTCAAAACGGGACGAACCAAACGTGTCACAACTGTTTTTCGAGATATTTCGAATTTTCCTCTTCAATGGTTATCTATTATTGGGCTAACAACGATTTGGATATTAGTAGTTTACCTAGTTCCATTTGAGAACTGTCCAGCTGGCTATCTAGGACCAGGTGAGTGTTTTCTCTTCATAATCAAAGATTGTATACTCATTATCGATTAATATTGTTCAGGTGGTCTACATGAAAATGGTAAATATGAGAATTGTACAGGTGGTATAACCGGATATATTGATCGATTTGTTCTCACTGATGAGCATCTCTATCAATATCCAACTTGTCAACTTGTTTATGGTACGTGTACATGAGTGTTTTTTTTTTTTCGAAAATGTGTGTTGTTTAGGTTGTAAACCACCTTTCGACTCGGAAAATTTACTTGGAGTTATTCCAACGATCTTTTTAGCTTATCTGGGCGTTCAAGCTGGTCGCATACTCGGTTTGTACATGTCGAGTTTTCTTACAATTTGTTCATTTCTTTATATATATAGTTATGTATCAAACCGATGTCGACCGTCTCATACGTCTTGTCACTTGGGGTATCTTCACACTTGCTATCGGTATCGGATTAACGTCGGGTACGCTTGATGGTGGACCAATGCCACTGAATAAAAACCTTTGGACATTGTCATTTTCATTCTTTACTGGTAAGAAAGTTTTCTAAGTGAAAATTTAAGTACAATGCTGCATTCTTCTAGCTGGTTTGGCATTTTTGGGCTTTGCAATTATGTATATTGTTATTGATAAATTAAAATGGTGGAATGCCACACCATTTCAATATTTGGGCACGAATTCTATTCTTATCTACATGGCACACATTGTTTTTGCTACTTATTTTCCTGTTCAATGGACTGTTGCCAATACACATGCAGCACATCTTGCCATGGCACTCTGGGGTTGTATTTTCTGGATTATTATTGCCTACATCTTCTTCAAAAAACGCGTTTTCCTCGTGCTCTGAGCGCATTTTCTGTACAAATGTCGACTTTTCAAAAAAAATCCACAATATATCTATGTAATTTTTCGTTTTCACTATGACTTGGTGGTTAATCTTCTTCTTCTTCTTCTTTTTCCTCGTTACTCTAAATGAACTTATCTGTATGTGTGTATACATGCGTCTCGTCCTTGCTTGAATAAATTGATTGAATAGTTATCTATAACGAAAAACAATTCTTCTCATGACTAATTCTTTAAACTACAATGAATACACATATACATATACAATGAGTCACAGTCTAAGCCGACCTCTTTCGTCTTGTCTTATTACATTAACAAACCATATAACCAATGTGGATAAAAATCTGTTTTGGTTCTTCATTATGACTAAGTTTATAAAAATTGAATAAACAATTAATGTTTTCCGGAGGAGTGATCAATTTGCAACGGTTTAGTTACATTGAAAATGAATTGCATTGTATTATCTGATTCTAGTGTAGAATTATACAACCGACAACAGGGGAAGCAGCAAATGTTGTTGTACCTCAGTTAGGTCATCTACTCAAACTCGATCCGTATCTTGCACCATATGAAGATGAAATTCGACGACGGTAAAATCATCTGCACCGCATATATCTCATGTTTCGTTTTTAGTTATTATGTCTTTCAAAAGCTCTTGAAGCAATTGGAAACAGAAGAGCAAGGAATAGATATTTTCACATCTGCTTATAAACGTTTTGGTATCCAGGTTAATCGACAAACAAATGAAATCAATATTACTGAATGGGCACCTGGTGCAAAAGCTATGTATATTCATGGCGATTTCAGTTCGTATTCATGATTTATTTCTGATAATGATATCTGCTTTTACTGTAGATAATTGGCGAGAAAAGCAATATCCATTCACACGAGATCAATGGGGTGTGTGGCGAGTAACGATCCCACCATTACTGGATGGATCAACTACAATCAAACACGGACAAGCAGTCAAAGTAAGAAGAATGATAACGAATGATTCACGAAATAACGACTAGTTTTCTAGTTGCTTATAGAAACACCCGATGGTCAACTAGTCACTCGTCTATGTCCATGGTCTCGCTATGTACAAAAAGTAGAAAAAGCCAATGTGTATCACGGCGTATACTATGATCCACCCGTCGATCAAATTTATCAGTTCAAGTATTCGCAACCGAAAAAACGCGATCGATTGAAAATCTATGAAGCACATGTAGGAATTAGTTCATCCGAAGAGACAATTGCTACATACGAAAACTTTCGTCTTAATGTTATTCCGCGCATTATTAAACAAGGTATTTTTTGTCGTATTATTGTCATATATAAAGAAGATGGATTTCGTTTCCGATAATTAAGGTTACAATACTATTCAATTAATGGCCATTATGGAACATCCCTACTATGCGAGTTTTGGTTATCAGGTAACGAGTTTCTATGCTCCGTCGAGGTTATTTGATTGAACATATTCCAAGAATTTGTTCACATTTCAAAGTTTTTAGCCGCTATGGTACCCCAGAAGAACTGAAAGCTCTGATTGATGAGGCTCATAAGCACGGTTTGACAGTTCTGTTGGATCTGGTGCATAGTCATAGCTGCAAAAACGTCGAAGATGGATTGAATATGTTTGATGGTACAGCGGGTTGCTTTTTCCATGATAATGCACGTGGCCATCATAGTCTGTGGGATAGTCGATGTTTCAATTACATGGAGTAAATTTCTCGATTGTTTGAAAACACGTTCAAATCGAAGATGATTTGTAATCTAGACGTGAAGTCATGCGATTTCTTCTTTCGAATATTCGATATTGGCTCGAAGAATTCAAATTCGATGGATTCCGTTTCGATGGTGTTTCGTCGATGCTCTATCATTCACACGGCATTAGTAATTAATCACCCTTGAACTTTGCTTTTACTTATCGAAGATAATCATCTAGATCATAGTTTCTCTGGCACATATGATGAATATTTTGGTTTAGCCACTGATACTGATTCATTCAATTATCTTCAACTCGCTAATTATGTCTCTCAAACACTTTTTCCACAATCGATTACAATTGCAGAAGTCTATCTTTTCTGAAAAGTACTATTTCACTCTCAAATGATTCTTCTTTCTACGATAGGAAGTCTCCGGCATGCCGACGTTATGTCGACCGTTAGCTGAAGGTGGTGCTGGTTTTGATTACCGATTAGCAATGGCTATACCTGATGTTTGGATTAAATTATTAAAAGAAAAGAAAGACGAAGAATGGCATATGGGCAATATCTCATGGATATTAACAAATCGCCGGTGGTCAGAAAACAATATTGCCTATGCGGAAAGTCATGACCAAGCTCTCGTCGGCGATAAAACCATTTCACACTGGCTGTTCGACGATCAAATCTATACTCATATGTCCATTTTTGCTGAACGAACAAGTGTAATAGAACGTGGATTAGCCTTACATAAAATGATTCGTTTATTGACATATGGATTAGGTGGAGAAGGTTGGTTAAATTTCGAAGGTAAATTTCAAAAATAGAGACTCAACCAAGAAATCTTCTTTGGTCTTGCCTGTAGGTAATGAATTCGGTCATCCCGAATGGCTGGATTTTCCTCGAGCAGGAAATAATGAAAGTTATAAATATGCTCGTCGTTTATTTCATTTATCGGTTGATGAAACACTGAGATATAAGTATTTGAACGAGTGGGATCGAGCTATGAACAGCTTGGAAGAAGAGTATCAATGGTTATCCGCGAAAGATATAGTAAGTTCAATGATCTCAGAACGGTCTCACTCAGATTCGATTCCAGTTCATCAGTCGACGCATCGAAGCTGATAAAATCATTGTATTCGAACGTGGTCAACGTGGTTTGTTATTCATCTTCAATTTTCACGAAAGAAAAAGTTTCGATGACTATCGCATTGGATGTGGACATAACGGAAAGTATGAAACACTGCTTTCTTTTTCTAACATTGTCGAAGATTGTTCTTGTATAGATATAAAATTGTTTTGAGTTCGGATGCGAAATCCTTCGATGGTCCAGATCGTATCAACGAGAAACAGATCTTTTCAGCGGAGAACATCATGTGGGACGAACGGCAATTTTCATTTCAAGTAAACTTCGATAATGACCTTCATTATTTGAATATCTTCGTTTTAGATCACCATTCCGAATCGTATTGTCCTCGTTCTTGCTTTGATTTGATACAGAACTGTTTTGTTTTCTCTCTCTCGTGTGAACTTTCTAAGCATTCGTAAATAAATAGATAACATGAAGTAAATCTCGCGAGACAGAATATTGACGTAATTCGAATCGATGGCAATTTCAATTGATTTTTTCATTTATCATTTCGGACAAGTATAACGAAGTCAAAGAAGATTTATTTTTTTTAAGTTCTACTTAAACTTGATTATATCAATATAGAATTATCCGTGTCAATTCTGACAAATGAAATAATTCCGAGCGACAGTTCATTAAGTATAAAATAGTTTTCCTGACATCTAAAGAAACAACATGACGAATTTCTTGATGTCACATTTTATTTTCCATGAACTATATTTATCTTCAATGAACGTTATTACGTATATCATTCTAAAGAACAAACACAATTGCGTAAAATTGTGAATTGAAGAATCACTCATAGTAACAAACTTCGAAATGTATAAGATGGTCAATAGAACAAGGAATTTGTTCATATTCATTGATTACGAAAACAGGATTGTTCATCATAACGATATATCCTTGACTGAGATTTCATTCGTCATTGTTGTTCTTTAATTAGACTAAGATCAAAAAGAAAGTTCTCTCTTCGGTTTTTCTTCACAAATGATCCCATCGTTGATGCTTATTTTATATAACACATTAACATTTATCGTTTTCTTTTCTTCCATTCATTCATTAATTTTATGCTTGTAGAAACATGAATCAAAAAAACCTGATTGAAATGTTAGGTAAGCGGCAGTATTGTTAACCTCGATGATGTAATCTTCTAGGAGTTCTTTTTTTATTATTACATTTGTACAAGTTCTATTTTCTTTTCTTGTTTACAGCAGGTTTCTTTTCTCTCTTCTGTTTTTGCATTGATTGAAGAAGAAAAATGAAAAGCTCGTTCACTTTTTTTTCTTCTTCTCTCTCGTTCCTTTCTTCAACGTACACTGTCCCTTTCTACCATCATTATAGTTCAAGGTCCGTTCAGGGTTACTTGTTCGTAAATGTATATTTGAACAGCAGATTGCATGAGAAAAAAAGCAGAAAAATGTGTATGTAATCGAGGTATGAGTGGCAAATAAAAAAAAAAGAAAAAGAAAAGAATACAGTGTTTTGAGAATAAAAGTAATATCTCATTTAATACAACAACGGCCAGTTCGAACAGCTGTTCAAGGTTATTTGCTGCACAAGTATAGAAAGAAAAACCTTGAGTAATGCTCGATCGGCAAGTTCTCTCTCGGTTTCTTTTTCTCTTTTTCTTTGCCCTGTGTATTCGTTTTCTTGATTGAATCAGAAAGAGAGGACCAGAGAGAGAGAGAGAAAGGGAGAACATTCGATTGCGTCATATACATAGATTTTATCAGCGTTCGCTGCTGATTACATTTGTGTATTTTCGAGAGAGAACGAGAGAAAAGGAAGAAGAAGTAGATAAGAAAGAGCATAGAAGGCAATATTTGTTCTTGAACACACATCATTGCGCTATGATGGAAAAGCAAGAAAAGAAGAAAATACCAGCATTAACTGTGAATAGTAGCAACAGTATCTTCAAACCTTGAGAGCCGCCTTGTTGATATTCCTGGCATATGGAAGGTTGATTGATCATCGTCATATTTTCTGTATGTATATCTGAAGAGAACTCAGCCTTGGAAAGACGATATAAAACAATAAGATTCTTCAAAATTCAAGATATCGCTCTGATCTTGACCAGAAAAAGAGCGGATTTTTCTCCCTCTCTTTCTATCTTTTCCCTTGCACTCTCGTTAAGATAAAGAAATTCAAGGCGACTAACGAAGGTCACATATGTTTTGGATGAGAAAGATAGATAGATTGACTTCGTTTTGATCGTTATTCGTTTTGCGTAAGATGTTTCTTATTATGTGTTAATCCAATATTGATTCAATCTATTGACGTAAAGTATAAAAAATGTGATATTCTTCTTCTCCTCTCATTCTTATTCTACGTAGAACTTTTCAAACACTTTTAGTCTTCTTTCTCCTCTTACTTCATCTGCACACTTTCGCGATGTTTATAGATAAAAACATTGATCGTTAATGAAGAAAATTGATTACTAGGTGATGTGTTGAATGAAGTGTGTTTTGAGTGATAAGAGTCGAGAATTCGAGTTCCGAGTGTTTCTCATCGCCATCAATGTGTTCTTATGTAAGATGAACAAACTATATCCTATCACGTGTCCTTGATCAACTGAACGAGATAGAAAAAGAAGAGTAAGTCTTTAGATCAAGTTCGAGGACTAAAATTCGTATTCCTATCCATAAATAGGTTTGTTTACTACCAGTGAAGCTTACATATGACCTCGAATGTACCAGAATGACGTTGATGAGTTGAGTCACATTTTAAGTTAATATTTTAAATAGATGTAGAAAGAAAAATTCTCGTTCTCATTTCGAGTCATATTTTTGCTCACGTTCGATTCTATGTATGCCGGAATCTAATCTATTATGTAATGATGATATACTGAACGAAGAGGTAGGCGTTGGTGAATTCCTAATCAGTCTTCTTTCTGTTCTTCTCCTTCTTCTTCTTAATGAGAGCAGTGTACGTCGCCTACGCTGATGCAAAGTACTTTTCTTACAAGTATGATGTAAAATCAGGATATTCATCCATCTGTCAGAATGTTCTCAAAGTTTCTCTCGTTTTTTTAAATAACATGAATAAACAAATACTAGATTCATGATTTAAGGATTACAAATGATACTCTATATGTGGCTGTTGTTTTTAAAACACGTTTATAAATAGATGTCTCTATTACAACAGGATCAAAATACCGTTCCACTGAGTTTCTTCTTTTTCTGTTTAAATATAGTTTGTTGACGAAAGATAATCTTTTTCCGTTCTTTTTTACAACTTGTTGATTACATCGTAACAATAGAAACAGTTTGATTTTTTAGTCATTTTTTTAATCATACGCGTACATGGAGATGTATATTGGAGGTGGATGGTTGGAGAGCATACATGTAGAAAAGAAAAAGGCAATGTATGTATTTTACTATAGAAACAAGAAAATAGAAGAGCGTATGTATACCTCATATCGTAATATATTATGTCAATAATAAAAACAGAACGAGCGTTCACATACACGCGCGTCCGCATATCATTGCGTAATATTGACAACCTTGTTCGCTTTTCGCACCCAGCAGCTATTTTTTTCTCCATTACCAGTTTGTATGAGTACGCGCGAGAAAAAAGAAGAAAAAAAAAAGATTTTTATTCTTCTCAAAGAATCTGCTTGCACTCATACGATATATGTATATATATATATATATATGAAGCAAAAAGTACATGCGCCTGGTCGACAAGCGACAACGATAATGTGACAATACTAAGTAAAGAAAAAAAGACCGAGGAGGAAAAAAGAGCCTTGTACTTATGGGTCCTAGGATAGGATGTATGATGTGATGATTTCCCTTCGCTTTTGTGCACACCCTCTATGCCCTTTCGACCAAGCATCGCATATATGTATACATATATTCGAGCAAAATAAATAAACATTAGGCAATTGATGACAAGGTGCGAGTATTGTCCAAAATGATTTCTTCCTTTCCTTTTTTATCATTTAGATAGGATACATATGTGTGTATGTAAATCTCCGCAGCAGATTCGACGGAGAAAATATGTCCGTTGTTACTATTTCGATTTTCTTTCCCGGAGGAATGATGAAAAATGCAGAGATGAAGATTGAATGAAATAAGAAAATAAATGAGTTGCATAAGAGTTTTCATATACATTTGCCGTTATTACTTTTGTTAATTTTAGCAATTGTTTCTTCTTTTTCTTCTTGCTTTTTTTTCCTTTTATTTGTCTAGGTATATTTTTGCAACATTGTTCTCTCAATTCTTTTTTCTTCTTTTTTTTTTTCTTCTTGCTTTTACTTGTTGTAAACTTTTGCGGTCAGGCTTATCGCTATTCTCGTCAAGAAAAAATCTCGTGATGACTTTTGTTGCGTATACACATATATGTAAGAATAGAAGAGAGAGGTCGCGCTTTCCTTTTGTTTTCGGCCGCGCCGTGTAAGCAAAGCGCATAAAAAAATATGAGAAAGAGATGTGTATTGACGTACGCTTGAGCACATNTTTTTTTCTTCTTGCTTTTACTTGTTGTAAACTTTTGCGGTCAGGCTTATCGCTATTCTCGTCAAGAAAAAATCTCGTGATGACTTTTGTTGCGTATACACATATATGTAAGAATAGAAGAGAGAGGTCGCGCTTTCCTTTTGTTTTCGGCCGCGCCGTGTAAGCAAAGCGCATAAAAAAATATGAGAAAGAGATGTGTATTGACGTACGCTTGAGCACATAACATAAAAAAAAACGAGGAGCGTGCTCGTTGGCGGAATGCATCATCGGACGACGCTCTCTGTGATTGTGTTTTTGCTCTCTCGTCGTTTCCATGCATGCAACACGAGAGAAAAAGAAAAAAAAACGAACGCATACGAACGGGCGATAGAAGGTATAAGGGTCAACTTTTTTTCCTCGTTCCCTTTTTCTTCTCTTCTGCCAGCAGTGCAGTTATGGGTGACATTTTTACTATATCCATTTCGAGAGACCTCAGAGAAGTTGAACTCTCTTTGCTATATTATTTCTTATGTAATAGCAATGAGTGTATTTTTCGATCAATACATACATTGATGCATTCGTGCATACACATACACCAGATGGTTCCCATGAGAAAAAAAAATGTTGAATTTCTTTCTTCCATTTTTTCCAGATGCTCTGTAAGTTAACAGTCATTGACGGCCAAATGGTCAGATAGTAAGTAGTATCGACTATGCATCATTCTCGTCATCCAATTGACATTTCACTTGTTGTCGATGACGACAACGATGAAGAGATGTCTAATCATCACTACGTTCCGTCGACTACAGGCGATTATTCATCTTTAATTGTTGACTCACCACCCGACACAATGTGTCATCGACAGGTTTATTCAGATCGATCGCCGTCGCCCACATCTTCAAATCTTCAAGCTCCTCAAGCAACAACCTCCCTTCGTCCCAGTCATAGACGCTTTTCCCAAAGTACCTCACTTCTCGATGCAGCTGGCACCGGTAACAGTGCACACCGTGATCGTGTCCGTTTCAATACGTGGCCACGTCATCGAAAAGAGAAACGTGATATACTTGCTGAATATGATAAACGTTTAGCAAAATCAATTATACAAGAACTTGGTATTGGCATCAACAAGACTTATCGTAATCCATGGGGTAATCTCTCTTATGCTCAATTGATTACACGTGCTATCGATAGTAGTCCATGGAAACGGTTAACATTAAATGAAGTCTATGAATGGATTGTTAAATTTGTACCATATTTCAAAGATAAAATCGATGCGAAAACAAGNCTTGCTGAATATGATAAACGTTTAGCAAAATCAATTATACAAGAACTTGGTATTGGCATCAACAAGACTTATCGTAATCCATGGGGTAATCTCTCTTATGCTCAATTGATTACACGTGCTATCGATAGTAGTCCATGGAAACGGTTAACATTAAATGAAGTCTATGAATGGATTGTTAAATTTGTACCATATTTCAAAGATAAAATCGATGCGAAAACAAGCTGGGGATGGAAGGTAAGGATTCAACGTATAACATCGAAAGAACACAACTTCATAACTTTTCTTTATTATCTTCTTTCATTTAGAATTCAATTCGCCATAATTTATCTTTGCACAATCAATTTATACGTGTACCTGTTATATCATCCTTATCAAAAGGTCCAGTTAAATACGTTTGGACAATAAACCCATCGTTCAAGAATAATTCTCCCTACAAGAAATATAGTTTAAAACGAAAACGGGCAGCGGCGGCTGCTGCAGCAGCTGCAGCTGCGGCTGTTTCAAATCTAAATCCTCCATCAAGCACGTCAACAAATTCTGAACAGATTATTGAATCAAAGTCATCGACACTGTCCAATAATTATCATCGTCATTCAACAAATTCAGCACCGAAAGCAACGCGTGTCAATGAACACGCACATGGCAATGGATCGTCGTCAACACTCAATCAGTTATCTGTTGCTGCTGCAATGATGTCAGCGGGTGTGACAGATCCAGCCGCCTATCGAGCATTTTTGAGCTCTCAAGCAGCAACAGCGGCCATGATCAATAAGCACAAACAACAAACAATACCATCACAATCAAGTACGCAACAGACAACGCCTGTTTCACATCGGCATTCCTCTTTAACATATGCAAATGAGCCGGGCCTTCCAATTCCGAAAAAAGTTGCGCTCACCGCTGACAGATATAAACCACAGCAACAGCAACAGCAACAACAACAACAACAACAACAGCAGCATGCCGAATGGCTTCTATCGTCGTATCGACAGCAGTCACAATCATACAATGGCAATCGACATCATCATCATTCATCCAATTCAAATAAAATGATGATTAATCAACAACAACGCAATGCATATTTACCACCTGCACCTCCACCAATGAATACACGTACTAATTCCGAGTTGAATAATCTTTCACCATCCTTGCAGAGACGTGGTAGTTCACCACCGTCGTATTCGACAGCAGCAGCTGCTGCAGCTGCAGCGCAAAATAAATTATTAGCTCAAACAAAATTCTGGCATGCAGCAGTGCAAGCGGCAGCTCAGGCACAACAACAACAACAGCAACAACAACAACAACAACAATATCATCATCAACAACAAAATCCCACAAATGCAATTAATGAACTTCAGAACTACATCAACCGATCGAATTCGAATAATGGTCATCACAATAAATTACCGCCGTATCTTAATCCCGAAACACTTAAGCTTTTATCAGTGAATAACTCTCATGACGAACAACACCATTTTGCCAATGATCCTCGTTATAAAGTGCCTCGTGCCTCATATCCAAACGGCTCGGTACCATCAGCATATCTTGTAAGACAGAGAATCAATCAAAATAATGGCCCATCAACACTTACTGCACAACAACAACAACAGCAACAACAACAACAACAACAGATTGATTTACTTACAGCAGCTTATCATAATTACCGACGACGTTCGAGCGGATTTTCGTCGACAACAAGTCATGGTGGCCCAAGTGATGACGAACATGATGAATATATGCCACCAAGAAAAGATTCAGTAAGTTCGAAGTATTCGACACTAGGCTCAATGATTTATTATTATTATAACTCACCCTCTGATGTCGAAAGTGCTCGCAATCTGTCGGAAACAATAACTTAAGCCGATTAGTAGATCTATTCTTGTCAACTAATCTTAATCGTAGCTTTTTTTGTTATTACAGATTACGCTGATGAAAGTACCTAATAAGTAAAATCTTTTCTTCGTGTTTTAGTCAACATCGAATGCTTCAAGTGGCTATGAATCGGGCCTGGCGACTAATCGCCAAACATCTCCGATAGCATCATCGATTCGAACAGGTTCAGGTTCATCAATTACGTCTGAAACGTCGTCATCATCCTATCATTACAATTCGAAACACGGTACGAATCATCTAGTACAACGCTTAACAAAAATAACTGCTAACGATAACGATATTGAAATGGACGAGCGGCAAACACTAGCATTGAATTCAGTCGGTGGCTATGTTGATGATCTTATGGAACGTATACGTAAGATGCCACCGAAAAAGCGTTCAAAGTTCTATCAAATGCTCGATGAAGAACGCTTGAAAGATCTCAATAATAATAATCAAGGTGAACATTCGAAACCATCACGAAATATTTGTATTGATGATGACAATGACGATGATGCTGAACCGATGTCAATGAACGTTTCGATACCACTGCCCGTAAATGATATTCACAGCGATGAAGATGAAGATCGAACAATAATTGAAATATCACCCAATGCACAAACAACAAACGATGATGCAGAAGATAAAACAAAACAACCATTTTTTGGATTAAATGAAAAAAGTTATGAAGAACTTCTTTCATTAGGTGTGCCACTAACAGTTCTAAAGGCAATCGCTCTTCAGCATCAACAACAACAATCCCACAATAATAATGCGTCGATAACCAATTTCTTGAACACCAAATGCACTGGTTCGTCGACAAATTCTTCGACAGATAACAAACGTTTATTGAATGCTCGAACTATTCTTCGACGACTTTTACAGCAACAACAACAGCGGCATTCAACCAATGATAAATCTTTACCTGAACCAATGGATTACACAAGTGATGACGAAGGCGGCATCATCGAAGATGACGATGATCACGAAGGGCCACAATCATCATCGACGACACCACGACATCGAAATGGTGTTCGATCCAATAGTCACAATCCAGTTACTGTTATGCTTAATCGAAATGAAATTTCGTCTTTATCACCACCAACATCTACATCGTCATCTCCTGATGAGACTGATGTCAATCATCAATCCAGTCCCAACTCTATCAGTCGTCCATCAAGTACACCTGCTGCTCTTGTTTCATCTGCTTGTTCATTCTAGTGGTAATCACTACCACGATTTGCAGGTTGTGTATTTTATTTCTCAATCGTACTTCAGGGATTTCTGTTTGAATACTACTGCTCATAGTGCAACTATCTATCTATTGTTTATTCTTGATTTGAATTCTTTGGTGTTTTAAACGCATAAAAAAGAAAACGAGCGAAATTTTATCGTCACTCAGTGCTATGCTTTGCTCAGCATGTCTTTGAAAAGACAGAAAAATCGGCCACGTATTTAAGCGAATTGTTCATCTGCTTAGCAGTTTTCTTTTGAATCGATTTTTGTGTGTATGTGTGTATATATAGGATGATCCTCGCAGAGACCTCAAACATATTTGTTGTTGTTGTTGTTGTTTTTCGTTTTCTGTTGAATCTCTTGTCTTAGTGATAAAAAACCTATATGAACGCGCACGAAATGTTCAGGTACGATATTCTCCCCTTTTGCGTTCGACTGGAAGAGAAACCTTCGTTCAGAAGTCGAATACGTACATACTGACTTGCCATAGATTTTCTTTTCTCTAGATCTTTTTGTGCGCATTTTACTTTCTTTTGCCTCGAAGAACCGTTTTGTGTGTTCGTTCGTTTCTTATCAGGGATTTCGATTGTCATACGTTTTCATTTTTTCAGAAAAGCCTATCGACTGTGTTGCGTTTTCTTTTCTTTTTCTTTTGTACAAAGATGTTCATTTCCTTTCTTTCTCGAATAGTCACCTCATTGAGCAGTGCTGTTTAAAACGTTTTCTGTTGTCGTGTCTTCAATTTGCTATGTGTTTGTAATTTTTCTTTACAGAACAGTATCATCACTATGATTCGCTCGATCGGAGCTGCGTTCGACTCGAGCATCTGTTTCGCTTTGACTTTGGAATGTAGCTTTTTCTTTTTTCTCTTCGATTTCGATGTGTTATGTATTGATTTTTTCATTTTTTCGTACGTACGTCTGTCTTCTTTCCAAATTCATCATCGGTATTAATGTAATTGATTATTTGATTTTCCTTTTCTTGTCTTTGTATGTCACGGTGTTGATTATAAACTTTTCCCTTTTTCAATCTTATATGTGTATTGTTTCTCTTGTTTTTTTTCTTTGTCTATGTTTGTGACACTTCTTTTTTTCTTCAAATAATAAGACAGACAAGAGATGGTATTTGTATCAAAAGTTTTCATTGACAGAAAGGGTCATGTCAAGTGTGTAAAATCATCAGTGGAAACTACCTGCGTACACTTATTTTAGAATAATTGCTCGTGACATAACGATCTGTTCTTTGTGGAATGCATGGCAGTGTTCAGGCATAAGAACATTTGATAATGAACCAAATTTACTCAAATGAAATGAGAAACATAGAAAGAAAGAAAACCATTGGTGCTTGAAGTCATTCGTGTATTATTTTTATTCTTGAAAAAAATCTGACAAAAAGGATCAGTGTAAGAACTATTGTTCGATTGTGTCATCTGTTTGATTAGCTTTTAATGCTTCACGCCATTGTTTAGCTAATTCGGGATTTTCTTCTTCCCATTTTTTTGAGGTATTTTGAACAAGCCAATCGCCTTTATTGATCGTCTGACGAAGTTGAGACACAAGATCGTCTAATTCGTTTTCCGTTGTTGTTGTTGGTGCTGGTGCTGGTGCTGGTGCTGTCAGTTGTGTATCGGATGGAATGATATTCGACATGATCTAAAAGAATTAAAAATAGGTTTTGTTGATCACCAGTTAACTGTTGGAATAAAACTTAAAAATATATTGTTGTATATGCTGGATTACATAGACTAGAACTAGATATAGACGCGAAAATAAAATGAGATAATATTAGAGTCTATGGATTAATGGTCGTGCCGAGCAATTTTAGAAATTCTGCGAGCCATTTTGGATGACCGGGCCACGCTGGTGATGTGACTAGATTTCCATCGACGACAACTTCGGTTGGTTCAACTTCGACAAAGGTGGCGCCCGCCAAGGTAAGATCAGGTCCAACCGCTTTGTATCCAGTTACTTTGCGACCGGTGACAACGCCCGCTGCTGCAAGCACTTGGAGACCGTGGCAAATGCTGGCAATTGGTTTTCTGCTACCATCGAATTCGCGAACAAGATCACGAACTCGTTTATCCAACCGTATGTACTCAGGCGCACGTCCGCCAGGTACGACGAGAGCATCGTAATCTTTGGCTTTGACCGAAGAGAATGTTGCTGTTAGGGTGAAATTATGACCGCGTTTTTCTGTATAGGTTTGTTCTTGTTCGAAGTCATGTACAGCTGTTGCCACCGTTTCTTTAGCTCGTTTATCTGGACATACAACATCAACCTGATGACCAATCATAAGTAGAGCTTGATAAGGAACCATAACTTCGTAATCTTCAACAAAATCGCCAACCAGCATCAAAATCTTCTTCGGTGCCATACTGAATCTACAAATACAGAAAACAACTTGTGAATAGTATGCCAGAAATAGTAGCCTGCAAACAAGTGTTCTTTCATCTAGCACAGTGCTTTGCATCTTTCAATCAGACTTGAGTTCTATGACTGAGCAACCGGTATATGTCCATTGATTTCCGAATGAAAACAGTGTAGCGATCGTCAGTGTAGAGATTTAGTAGGATTCGAATGGAAAAGACTGTATTGTTGTTGTTCTTGTTTAATGATGTTAGTTTTACATACGGAATGTCACAACTGTAGAACAATAAAAGAACATGAAAAACCAACAGTAACGATTATACCTATGGACGGACAACATTCGAAAAAAAAAACGAAGAAACAAGAGGCAAAGCGATCTAAGCTTATTGTTCTTTGGCAGCTGATACTTGTTCAGCATTTGATGTTGACGAAACCGGGTCAGCATTTGATTTGTTTGATTCTTGTTTATTTGAAGCACTATCACCGGATTCAGCTGTTGCTTCATCTTCGTCATCCGAATCGGCTTCATCATCGGAACCATCACCCATATCCATGCCCGGCATACCACCCATGCCTGGCATACCGCCCATGCCGCCCATGCCACCCATGCCACCCATGCCTAAAACATGAGTAAAATAAGAAACTCTACTTGGTTGAACACGATGTTTTTACCTCCTGAAAACATATCTTGAAAATTACCACCGAAGCCTGGTTTTTCATCGTCACTTTCGTCTTCATCTTTCCAGTGATCGAAGTCCGTTTGTAACCAATGTAAACGTGCTTTCTCCTTGGTTAAACGTGGCCAAAAGCTAGCTTTGGCATCCTTCTTCTTCAACAACAGACGCCAGAATTTTTGACCAACATTTTCGAATTTACTTGTTTCTGGATCGATTTTTTCGTATAAGTCAATTTTCACGGCATAATTAGTTTTCTCTTTGCTATTTTTCGATCCTGATTGACCTTGAAAGGAGACGGAATCTTCTTCAAATTTAACGTCAACTTTCTCAAGGTCAGGAACAGTGACAGTTAAGAGAACATGTTCACGTTGTTGAGCCCAGCGAACGCTTGGAATTTGAGTTTGTTCAGGCATGATTGGATACTGAGTGATGAAACAACGACCGAGCAGACGTTCTATACTGAAGCACTGAAAGGAAGTAATTGATGGGGGACTGTTTATTTTGTTTTCATTTTTAACTACAGCGATAGTAGTGACCTCATTAGCAATAGAATTATTTCAACATTTCATTAATTTTTCTGAGTTTTATTTGTGAATTTATATCGGAAGCTGAAGTTTTTCACTGAAATGCATCAACTATTGAAAAGTGAGCGTGTCACGCGTATGATTCGTCGAGATATTCGTTTGTTTGCTAATGGTCACTGATACGGCGAGTCTTTTTCGTGCGACGTATCGATCGCCACTGCCGCTGACATGGAACTTTATTTAATTAGAATTGAACTGAACTCATCTTACAAACTCTCACGTTTTTCAGATATCTAATCTACTCAAATCAGCAAACGATATTTTTATCTCATGGCACGAGAAAGTGACCAAGTAAGCCAAGACGATTTCCTGTTTTTGACATTAATTAACATTGCTTTGTATTCAGATTTTGGGTATGTGCGCCAATATGCTTGGTGTAGTTGTCTTCTTATTGGTTGTTGCGTATCATTACGTTCACGCTAGCAATCCACGCAATCAACGACATGCGAATGAATAGATCAATAGCAAGAATGTATAACTTTGAACATTTATTGTTTTACTTAGCCATTTCGTCTCTTTTTGATTGTTATATCAGTTAGTTTTTATGACTATGGGAAGCGTTTTCATTCTATACTTGTTTTGTTTTAAAAGACAGACAACACGATATTCAAAAGAAATAAATTATTTGTTAAAAATACACTCCAAACAGCGCAATTGTTCGCTCGTGATGAATTACTAAAGATGCAAAACGACAATTTTACTAGATCCATATCTTATCGATACTCACACCCTGCACGAAGAAGATGATAAAAAGATATCAGAATCGTATAATGTCAGTAAACAAATGCGAGTATCCCCCGGTTTTTCAATACTCGAATGGACACCCCCTGTACCACGCCCCCCTGCACTACCCCCTAATGAACGCTGCTCTTTCGACCTATAAATACTACCTTGATTCTCATTCGACACAGTATCAATCGTATTACAAATAAAAACAATGCCGTGCCCCTGTGAAGGTGAGTAGCGTCATTTTAAAAGCGAGTCTTTCTCAACAAACGATGATGCTTTTGTTTTGCTAGCTGGAAAATGTGGATGCAAAGAAGATTGCCTGAAATCAGGTCAATGTTCTTGTGATACCAACTGTACACATTGTCACCAATCGAGTGAGTATTTTGGAAGGATTTTCTCCAAATAATCGATCGTTGTTATCGTCAATCGATTTAGGTCAAGGCTGTGGAAAAGAAGGATGCAAATGTGAAGACTGTAAATGTCCACAAGGTAATTGTCCGTGTGGGAAATCCTCGTGAATGTCAGTTTCAATCCTCGAGACAATGTTAAGATAAACTTTCATTTCTTTTTTTTTCATTTGTATTTCACTCCGGTTAAATAAAGTCAAATTCTTGAACACGATTATATTGTCTACTCGATAGGCACTGCTTTACATCACGGATGGAAACGCACGTGTGGCAGTCGTGATAATGTAAGGATATCGTTTATGTCAGTCCGTCTAGAACGTATGTGAACTTTCGTCTTTAGTTGTAAGAACGTATTACCGACAGAACAGACAATGTGATGCACCCCCTGTTTTCTTTTCATATTCTGCGAATCAGCACCCCCGTTTTCTCTGTACGAATAGACAATGTACGGTACGAATATATAAATAGTGCGATATTTAACAGTGCTTTACTAATCGAACTTCTACTGATCAAGTATCACTCCTTCAAAGCTATTACAATGCCGTGCAATTGTCAAGGTAAAAACTCTTGATTTGTCCTTTTTGAAAAATGTATGCATTTCTGCTCTTGTCATTGTTTAGTTGGAAAATGTTCATGCAAGAGCGATTGTACAAAGACAGGCAGCTGTCCATGTGATCCAAACTGCCCATGCAATCAATCTCAAAAGAAAGGTTGCGGTAATGACAAATGCAAATGCACGAACTGTGAATGTCCAACAGGCTCATGCAAATGCTGTCAATGATTCTCGACAAATGCTCGACTTTTAAATGACTTTCTTCCTTTTTTCAAGTTCATATTTCAAAAATTGAAAATAAAAATTCATAAAGAATAATCCATCATCACGAAATCGACGTAGGAACACAGACTATTTTTCATAGTTCCGGTACGGAAAAAAAACAGAGTGTTTCATGACTACTAATCTTCTCTCATTTTCATCATAATCAAGAAAAATTTATTTTCCCTTGAATAGAATCATCGACTGGTGTCTCACTAGATTTCGAGATGTATATTTCTTTCAAACACGCTAGTTTTATTACAAACTAGAAACGCATACGATAACATAGCTGGCTGAAGAGAAGAGAGAATCTTCGTCTCCTAGTTATTCATTACATCGCAACTAGTAGTCTTTCATTTTGTTTCCTACTTCATTTCATCTGAATAACGACAGTCAAAGACATGTGTAAACAACATTGATACAAATCTAAAAGTTTTCTCTCGACAAACAACGTCATTATTTAATAAGATCTGTTGGTGAAGGTTCAAATTGAATTAGAACAGATCACTCTATGAAATTTCCATATAAACAACACTGACAGTTTGTTTTTCGTTGATACATACACGGTCAAGGACATGATCTCTCGTTCTCATACAAATCTCTGTTCGAGTACATGAATAATTCATGTCTTCGTCTTTTAAAAGTCTCTATTTTTAGAAATCGACTCGATTTCAACGCCCTGCATCGATTCTTTTCAAAGTCTACTCAACAAGATTGACATGGAAGGTCACATGCGTTCGACTGAAATCATCCATTGAACATGAAACAGAGCAATTTGCAAATCATTGAAACATATCACAATTACTTTTCATTGAATCCAAAGAAACATATTAGATATCTCGATGGAGACTATCATGCAATCGGAGTGATTATGTCAGACAGATGATGATGATGATTACTATTTATAGTTTGTTTATGAAAATCATCGACTAACAGTTGGTCACAAAAGAATGTAAGATGAGAACAAGAATAATAGTCTGTAGAAACAAAATAATCAATCGTTTGACTGGATGATGCAAGTGATATAGTAGAAGATTTCAAGATCAAACTATTCAATTAAAGAAGATTTCTTTTTTCCTTTCCATGAGATGAGAAACTCATTTGTTAATTGTATCGATGTGAACTGCCGCATTAAGATTATTAACGATTGTCTTTCGATGTTCAATACGCTATTTCCGTCAACAGACATTCCAATTATCAATGATTCTTCACCTGACATACACACACATACACATATACGTGTAGAATGTCTATTTTTGTTTAATTACTAGCTGAAGAGGGAAATTGAAAGGAAAGAAAATGAGCATCAAATAGTGTCGAGCAGGATAATAGGCATTTGTGAGGTATCTGATCAGTTTCTACTTAAATTCTTCATTTTTTTCTCCTTCAGTGGACACTTATCATGTGTAATATGAAGAACTCAAACGAATCAGTTCTTTTTCTATCAAGCACATATATGAACTTACTGAAGCACAATAGATGAAATATTTGTTCCTAAGACAAGAGCAAGCGGTGAATTAAATTACCACACTATGTGTGTGTGTGTGCCTAATCAAACGTGAATCATTACGATGAAGTATTACATAAAGAAAGAGTTCTATTCACTTCAATGATATGTTCTTAGATGATTGAAGAAGAACAGAAGTTAGAGATTTTCTACAAAGACACATGCGCGATACATAGACGAAGACAAGACAATGACCCATTGTCTTCGATCCAAGGTTAGAAAAATACTTCTGTCATTAATGATTGCTAATTTGATAGATTGCGTCAGCTTAAATTCGTCTTCATATGTACTATGTCAATGTCAAACTCCTTTTTCTCTCCTCCAACGGCTCATTTGGAATGAAAGACTTCTTTCTTCACTATTCATTTATTATTCATCGATCAGACCGATGACACATACGTAAACTCAACTGAGAAAACTTGTTTTATTTCATCAGTGTCGATTCGTAATTGATATCTTGAACAAAAATCATCGTTTGTACAGATGGTACTTATTCTTGAAGGAAAGAAAAGAAAGTCAATTCTGATATTGTCTCCGCCCATTTCTTTTTTTGTTTGTCAATCTCTCTCGTTAAGTCCATTTAAGTAGCAGTAGTATGCTTTGGTCCGTCTGTACGCGTTCTCATTAGCTCGTCCCTATAGTCATCACTATTTGCATTAAGTTTCCGTCCTAGTCGCCGCCATCTCCACACATTGAACAAATTGGAATTATATACATCGACACGACACAAGAGAAAGAGAGAGAGAGAGGGGAGAAGCAACTTTGAAAATCAATTACTCATAAAATGCTGATCCAAGTCAAGTCAAACTAAACATCATGTTAAACTGTCCGTGAACGGCGATGTCTTCATGCCAGATACTTATCGTGAAAACAGGCTCATTAATCATTTCATTGAAAACAGAGAACATATCACCTTTTGCTTTTTCTTAATGAAGTCATCGTTTATTTCTGGGAGACTAACGAGCTTTTGAAAACTGGTTTGATGAACAACAGAAAAATTATTAAGCTCTGATGTCGTCATTAAAAAACAGAGAAGAATATGTTTCTTCTTTCTTCTCTTTCGCCTAATAGAGCGAAAGAGAGAAGGGGAGAGGGAGAGAGAGCCAGAAGAAAAGAAAGCAAAAGTTATCCTCTTCCCACTTGAAACAAATCAACTTGATTTCTTTTCTCTTCGTGCAATTCACATATACAAAAGAATAAAAAAAAAAGAGACACAGAGAAAAAGGCGAGAGAAACAGAGAGTCGTTTTGCTGTGCAGAGAAGAACTTCCGTTGTCAAAAAATTCATTTCTATGTCAATCCAAACGCGATAATAATCTATTTCAATCGTATGTTGTCGATTGTTGTACTTGTTCTCCTAATTGACCAATTCCAACCAGCATATCAATTGGAAACAGTTCAAACAGCTCTGTCCAGTACTGTCGAACTGCCATGTTCCAACGCTAATCAGAATATCGATTCAAGAAACTCTGCTAAGGTAACTATGGCATATTCATTTGTTTGACTTGAAAGGAAAAATAGTTTCCCACTGAGAGTATAGAACAATAATGACATCAGAGCTGACGAGTGTGCTTGTATACCAACTCAGTGTGAAAGATATTCTCTTCGTTTAGATCGTCTGGATCCGTGATGATCAAGCTGATATTGTTAGTCTTGATTCGGTAATCACAGTTCGCGATCCTCGTCTAAGTATTATCTCTTCAGACAATAACGATCATCAAGAACGAATCTTACGCCTTGCGAATATCGAAGAACATGATCATGGTCTGTATCGATGTGTACAAGGTGATATTACATTGAACGAAATTCTACTTGATGTGCTTAGTAAGTCTACTGTTTTTCTTTCAAGCAATAACGTATGTTTTCATATGATCATATCACTGTTTTGATCCTCATTTTAACAAAGCAAACAACTATCTGAGGTGTATGTTGACTGACCTTCTCTTTCTCTCATCTTTCGAGTGTTGTTAATACGTATATAAGACGAGAAAGAAGACAAAAACAATCCGTCTTTAGACGTTTACATTTGGATCTGATGCATGTGTATGTATGTGTGTCTGTTTGCATTGTCCCTCCTACTTTCTTTCTTTCTTTCTTCTTTTGTTCAACAGGAGGTCTCTCATCAGACATAGATAAATATGAAAGACGTTGATTTGACATTTTTCAAATGATCTAACACCTTCACCAGCGGTGATGCATAGCTTCCGTTTTCGACCATATTTCTCACCGAAAAAGAAAGAGAAATTCGTACATGAATATTTTCTTTTTTATTATTTCTTACTCTGTTCGATGATCATTGTTCACTTCATTGATTCTATTCTCTCTTCTCTTGTCAATCAGCATGAGTTCACACGCTCATTCCGTGTCAATAAGGGTTACTTACCTCTTGAATATAAAACCAGCTGTTCGATGAATAGATACATACAAGCTAATTGTTTTTCAAGTACGACATACACACCTTCATACAAATAATACTTATTTTCATACAGTGATCAACAATGGTCAGTTTATTTTCTAGTTCCACCCCGAATTATCTCACATACGCCTGAGCATATGCATTTGACAGTTCGTGAAGGTCGTGATGCAGAATTCTCATGTATAGCCACCGGTCATCCCCCACCACTCATTATTTGGCATGTCAATGGTTTATCGAGGCCGGGTGTCGTTACAACGGGTATGTCGAGAAAAAAAAACCGAGAATTGACATCCTGTCACACACATATCTATCTTTCTTCTTTAGTTGAGGGTAAAAATGAAAGCCTTCTTATCTTACGTAATGTGTCACGGTTTGATTCGGGTCGAGTCGATTGTTCAGCAACTAATACATTAAGTACTGTCAATCGACAATTTCTTCTTGATGTTAAATGTAAGTCATAGTTTTCTTATTTTGTCATATCCTGTATATATGGGAGAAAAAATTTAGATAAACCAATGGTTACAGTTCCGTTTCATTTGTCCTATTTCCGTTTGTATGATTCAGCAACAATTACATGTCAAGCTTGTTCAATACCAGCGCCAACAATTTTTGATGTTTTTCGACCGAGAAAAGCTGTACCGATCAAGAAGGGAGTGAAGGAGAAATTCGAAGAATTTCTCAATCAAACTTGTCGACAAGTCACAGTTACGATTCATGTAAGAGCTCGTTTCGTTTTTTCCTTCTCTATCAGACATTTCTCGTGTACAGTTAACTCATTCATCATTATTCGGTCCATATGTTTGTCGAGCAAGAAATTCTCTAGGTGTCAACCATGTTGAATTCATACTGAAAGGTTTGTAAACATTCCATTTCTGGCAAACCTTGATTACCCATCTGCATCGTTTTTAGAATCAACCAAGCAGATAAAACCTGCAACAGAACATCAGCCTTCAGGAATGTCGATGAATTCGTCTACGTCTTCGACCTTTGTTACTGCTAATGAGAATGAAGCGCGTAAGTTTCTTTCCATTTGAATCGGATAAAAGCGAAGAACTTTGTTTCTTTTTAGCCAAAAGTAATATTCTAGCGACGATGTTCACAACTCAATCAATTGCGCGTACAAATCCGTCGTCGAAACTATCATTATCATCAGTGCTCATCCTCATACCCTTGCTTGTTCTCATGATCTAGTCGTAGATGGATGCCTGTTGAAAATGTCTCTTTTCTTTTATTTTTGTCTTGTTTTTCTTTTTCTACAGTGATCAAATAAACGCATAGATTGGTTTTAACACGGTTCTTATTACTACACACGACGTGAAACGCCAGAGCATCAGGCAGAAAACGAGGAACATCTGATTTACAACGCGCGTGCAGTTTAATCCCATAGGGATTGCGCTAAGAGGTTTATTTAGTTATTTTCACACAAAATGTACATCGCTATTTCTTTTCTGGCTTATGTAAATGTTTAGGTTTCATATCGACTAAAGGTAAATGCAAGATTTTATGAAACAATAAAGTGGAGAGATGTTCAAATTGGTCGATATCAAGATTGTTATCGTTGGATGTCGATGTATCTGTGAGAGATTCATGTTTCGAAACAGCCAGTTGTGTTTGATTAAGAATTTTGATGTTTTCTAACATTTTTGTTGAATACTCATCATATTGACTATATTCTTCGTATAGTTGTTTAAGTTTTTGAATTTCGTTCTCCAATTGCACTTTCTCGTTGTTTTGCTTTTCAACAATCAGTTTCAACGCTTCTAGTGTTGCTAACGGGCCGGCGATTTTCTATGAAAACAGAATGATATTCAGAAGAAAGTGGATCAAAAGTCTTACTGTTAAATATTTATTTTTCAATTTCGTCAATTGTTGATCGAGTTCCATGCTCGTCTTTGCACTTGATTTCGCAGCATCGCTGTCATTTTTAATGCGTTTTTTCGATGTTTCATTACTCATTTCCCCGCCGGATAAGTATGTTGAACATACTGCAGGTGTCAGTAAAGAATCATTCGTTGTTGATTGAACCAGTTCATACAGTTCTCGTTCGATTTCTAGTTGAACATAGTGTTCGATCTCATTCCGAACATGAACTTCAAGTTCAGCAATATCGTCAGCGGAGCAGGATGGACCTTGAGTAAGAGTAGCTTCAAGAAGTTGAAGAGTCATGAATATGAACTGAAAGAATGAATGATAAATGAATCGTTGGAAGTGAGAACAAAGACAACTGTACCGAGCGACATCTAGAGAACGATGAGAACAAAAAGAACAAAGAAAGACTGATTTTCGAGAATAAGAATTCAAACTGAAAAAAGAATTTGAGATTTTGAAATCAATTGAAATTTATTGAACTATTGGGACCAATAGAATAACGACGAAGTTTTCGAATGTGATGTGATTGAGTAATCAACATTACATACATTTCCGACTTTTTAGATCACGTATGGAGAAATACCGTGCACCAAATCGTGTCAATCTTCTACGTGCACGTGAATATGGTCTTGAACAATCGTTTATTCACATTGAACAAACACGTCGGCTTGCTGATTTTACTCTATGTAAATATCGTGATTTGACAAGTTATCATCATTCTTCAATATCGACGATGGATCTTGATCAATCTGAATATCGTTAGTGAGTGTCATCTCAAAGTTTGAGAAGCATTGACTAGAACATATCGACTTTAGTCTTTTATCCGGTGGTTCCAATGGACACATATGTTGCCATGATATGTTTCCTTCGAGTCTTGTCGCTACGCATCCTATCGTCTTTCAAATTGATCGAAATACTAATCGAGATCATCACACACATAATATCTGTTCACTTATTTGGTATTCAAATGACAATGGAATGTTCATTACACTTGGTTTGGACAAGAAATTGAAAATATGGGATACTAATCGAGTGAAAGTAAGACGAAGCAGAAAGGATTGTACATAGCAAAGATGAACCTCCTATTTAGCTGGTCGATGATTACGAATTTAATAACTTTGCTTACGCAGCTCAAATACCATCGGTAGCAGATACATCGATCATTGCAGTAGCACATGAAAATGGCGATCTACGTTTGATTGATATTCGAACCGGTTCTAATTCACATATTATCCATTCTCATACGAAAAAAGGTGTCTGTCTAATCAAATGGTTTAATAATAGTCCATACCTATTAGCCAGTGGAGGGTAAATGATAACGCTCTTTTTTGACGTTATATTTTGAAGTTTCCCTCTTCATAGGGTTGATGGCCGAGTATTATTTACTGACATTCGTAGTTCTCGCAATCATTACATGTCACTCGATCGTGATAATATTCTAACCGATAATGATCAAGTCAAACCTCGTGCAACGACAGTATCCTCTGTTGCTCACCATCGCGGTGTCAAATCTCTCGAATTTCTACCAGATAATACGCATTTGCTAACAGTCGGTGCGGATGACTTGATGTATCTATGGAATATCAATAATGGTCAACGCCTACTGGTGAATTACGGCTTGGTACCAACGAATAATATGCGTATGTTGACAATGGCATGTGCACAAATGAAACACGATCAAACTAAAGGTCTTGTTTACGTACCATGTGGTAAATTCATTCGTGTGTACGACATTTTCTCCGGACAACGGTTGTCAACATTGAGTGGGCATCTGATGCCTGTCAGTGCTTGTATATATAATCGTTCATTAGTTGAACTGTACTCTTGTTCGGACGATATACTTGTTTGGGGATCGGTGAAGAAAGAACAAGAAGAATACGAAATCTCCTTGAAAAATCCTGAACGAAGACAGGATACCACACGATCATTAGGACAAGTTTTGAACCGAGATGAATGGAGTGATGATGAAGAAGAGACATAACTGATTTTTCCGATATTTTTTTGTGAGCGTGCATATGCTTTTTTTTATTGGTGAGTTTATAATGTACAGAAATTCAAGTTTCCAAAAAACAAAGACATACGTATTGAAGAATAATTTTCTCTGATCTGACTCTACGATTATCGTTGGATAGGATTCATTCGTCGATATTGGGAGGCAAAGTTAGTTTTTATCCGAAATTGTTCATTCTGTTTGTCCATTCGATCATTTGTCGAAATAATTCGCTGTTGATTCAATACAAAAACGGCTAATTTGAAACAAATCTCTGTTATTCTCTGTATTGTATTATTAAACAAGTAATCAATATCATCTTCGTATCTATCCAAATATATCAGTATAAACTGAGAGAATAGCAATTGTGAAATATTCTTATAAGTTAACCAAAAGATCAGAAATAACTTCAATTCATAGTAAAACGGAACAATTAGCGAAAGCAACTGATCGAATATCAATTCCCATATATGAAACAGATTAATGGAAGTCCAATAGCACAGGAGAGGTTGATATTGATCATGCTGTTGATATTTTAGAGATTTATAAGTTTGATAGGAAGGATAGAGAATGCCAATGAGAATAGATAATAAACGATAGGTAAAAAAGCTAATTATCATGACTTTCAAGCGAAAAAAAAGTGAATAACGATGCGCGTTTTCAATTTGTCAGGTCATGGATATTTCATAGTTCATTTTCAATATTGACCTGTCTTCTACTTGATTACACTTTCCACTCTACAGGCTTGTTTTATTGTTCTACCATTTTGAATAATTTTGGAATCAATCTAATTGAAATGTCATTTACAACAACACTTTATGAAAAGTAATTCGCAAAAGAACAATCCAATGTAGTCTGTTGTCTATTTGCATGTTCTTCTCAACTAAAAAATGGCACGACTAAGAAATCTGATGAACAAAAACTATCGAATGACTTGTTTTCTTTGTCTCAATTAAATGTTTGCTGTTTTTATTCCTCCTTGCCGATCGAATTTCTAACATAACAACATACGAATGATCAACAAATTCGACATTTGTTAATAAATTAGCATGGAAAATGATCGAAAATAGACTTTTTATTCTTTCAATTCAGTAACATTCTCGAATACATTTCAAAACAGAAGGAGAAAAAAAACTGTTAGGCACACTGTTCTTTTTTAAAAACTGTCTGTAACTGTTTGCATAAAAATGAATTTATCACACATTCTTAGGTTTCTGTTTTTTTGTAGAAAGAAAGGAGAGAAAAAGTAATAATCATAATAAATCAACATTCACAACCACTTTTTTTTAGTGTAAATGCACACTTAGACGTTGAAGAAGAAGAAAAAAACCGATCCCGTTACAAGAATAGTTTTAATGTAAATTTGAATATGGCAATTGATTATTTCGGCGTAAATAACTTACAACGAGATAGATCAGTGCACTCAAGCCTGTTGCGAGTATCATTCCACCAACGAACGAGAGACCGTCGAATTTGCGACCTAAAACATCAGAGAAGTTTTACGATTCAAACGAAGAAATATCCGCTTGTCGTACCGGATGGCTTGCTGGTCGTTGTCGTTAGTTTTGTTGTTGTCGAAGTTGTAGTATTCATTGTTGATGTTGTTGTATTGGGAGAGATTGTAGTATAGTTTGTTACCATGCTCGTTTGAACAGTTGGAGCTGCAGTTGAACTGTTCACTTCGGTTTGACCAGTCGTTATTTGGGCAGTTGTAACTAGATAAATGAAAAACACGCTTCAATAGTATTATGTAAAATCATGAATGCGAAAGAATTAGTTGAACAGAAAGCAACCGGAGTCTTTACTTTGTTGTGTTACTGTTGCATTAGTAGAGATGTTAAAGATGGCCACTGGACTGGTTACCATTGTTGGTGAGTAAGTCATATTAGTGTTAGTTGTTACATTGCTGTTCGTTTCGTTAGAAAATGCGCCACAGCATGGTGTAGCTACAGTAAAGAAGAAGCGGCTTTTGTAAAAAAAGGATCAAGCAGAGTAATGGAGAAATACAATGCACAACATCGAAAGCACATAAATCGTCAAACACATTAAATATCTTACTTAGAAGTACGACGAGAAGTAATCCTATTGACATAGATTGTGAAGTATTCATTGCTATACTATTCGAACAGAAATAGTTTTCAATCTGCAAGGAAGAAATGAAAAAGTGGCGATGTTTAATCGTTTCATATGAGATAAGATAGGAGAAGAAATCGATCCTACTCATTTTACATCAAGTTTTACTAATGATAAAAATTTCCATACGACATATTACGAGCAAAATAATAGTTTAAGGAAGTTATGTATGTGCATATATATATATAAAGAGAGGAAAAGAGAGGGGGCATACACCACATATAAGTGACACGACGTATAAACTGTTAATGATGGTTGTAACAGCTTGAGTTGTTTCTGTGTAAAAATAATGGATGAAAGAACGGAAAGAGAAAAAGAATATGCCGATGCAATCTTTGAATATAATTTCAAGAAAGAAAAATATATTCACAAAGAAAAAAATAAAAAATAAAACACTTTCCCATCCCACGCACGTCACAAGCTATGATACTGATGAGGCTTTTTCCCCATTTTGCCATAGATATTCCAGTCACATCTATGAACAAAATGTTGGAATGCAATTGAGTAATGCGCAGAAGTAGATGTGCTCATCATATCTAAGACAGAAATATTTATCCGCAGCATAACTTCATGAGAGAAAAGAGAAGCGCAGGTACTGGATGATAAAGAATGTACTCGAAGTCAGATATTTGTGACATCTATCGAAATGTTCATTGAACTTTTGATCATGAGAAAAAGCGTGAACAAAAATGTTGAAAGGAAAAATTACAAAATCATTCTTCTAATTACTTCAATCTCACGGTTGAAACGAGCAAGGTAATGTTCAATTTGAGCCGTATATATCTATGAATGTCTTCAACAAGTGCACGCATGTGAGCTCAATTTTCTTTTTCTCCACAGTCGTTTTACCTTCGTTCTTGTTGCTCGTTACGCTTCGAAGATTTCTTCTAGTTATCAACGATAACTTCTTTTTCGTTTCTCTTTTTATTCTCGTGGTCACGACAGTTCGCACTACACAACAATTTAGCCTTGAAACTAATCTACTACATTCTTTCACTGTGTACAATCATCATGACAGCACGTAGTTCATCATCATCGTCATCTTCTTCAGAAACGGAAATAACCTCCGAACGTATTCGTGCTACGAGTGAAACATCAGGCGATATCACTCGAACAGAATCACATTTACGACAAGATTCACCAACGAACACTATAGATGGAACTTCCATTGCGGATACAACAACCGTACGAAGTGCATCACCAACACAAAGTCATCTCTCCCAAGCACGCACGCATACAACGTTCGATTCCACCAGTGTCGCGACTGGTTTCTCCAAAGGAACGGTGAGTAGCCAACCACAACTAGCTGGTGGTATTCCCATCATTCGGCCACCTGGTCTGCAACAGCAGCAACAAGGTGGGACAGGCATTGGTGTCTTCGGGCCACAACGACCAACGGGCTATCCGACTCAACCACCATCCAGTGTGGGAAGCATCAGTCAACAGCCAATTCAGATCGATGTTGCAGCCGCACAACAACAATATCAACAACGCGGTATGCAACCAGAAATAAGCCCTTATAGTAAAACTACGTGCTTGTATAGATCATTTTCAATGAAGCATCTGTATTTTAGGTGGATCAACGACGTCATCCAGTGCGGGCTCATTATCCGTTTCAGCTGCAACATCATCGAACCGTCCACCACAATTTGACGCTACCAAAGCTGTTTTCAACCAAGTCGATACTAATCAAAATGGGTCACTCAGTCGAGATGAATTTAATACATGGGCTCAACAGGGCGTGACTGGCGCAAGTGGTGGTCAGTATCAACAGCAACAGCAGCAGCAACAACAACAACAACAACAAACACAGTAAGGAATTCATAATTTTACGCAAAAATTCCCATCAATTTTTGTTTTTTATTTCAAAGATTCCCTAATCAGATTCCTGCATCCCAAGTTTACAATGAATTACTCGGCCCAGATGCATTCAAAGATGTTATTCTCGATATTGACTACGGTGCCATGGCCGGATTCAATGTTGCCTTTCAATCAGGTGGTGATTTCAATAATGGACAACTACCACCTGGTATCAATGTTCGCCCAGCTTATACCACTGTCGACTCGCTCAACTATCAACAACATATGTTTAATACTGCTCGAACTATAAATGCAGGAAATCAAAATGATAGTTTCGATTTTAATGCGGCTGCAAGTGGTTCATATGCAACTGGAGGTGCGGACGGACAACAATTCGATGTTGCTCGAGCTATATTTAATCAAGCCGATGCTAATCAAGATGGTGCCATCAGTCGAGATGAATTTCGTCAATGGGCTCAAGGTGGTAATCAACAAAACTATGGCGGACAACAATCATACTCTGCAGCCGCTAGCAACTATCAAGCTAGTTATGGAAATCATGCTGGTGGCGTTCAAAACAGTGTATATCAAGCAGCTCTATTCGATGGTGCTAATCCAGCTGTAGCAAATATTCTTCAACAAAGTGGACTCGGACAAGTTGTACCAAATTAATAATCAAGTGTATAAAGATAAGAAAAGAATATTCACACTCTTTTTTTCTGTTTATGTCATCCGTCCTAGGCTAGTTCTCTTTACATTCATCTTATTATTTATTCGATACGTTTTTTCTTTCTTCCTTCTTGCTTTCGTTTTGGATGATAGATTTCATTTTCTGTTAGAAGATCTTTTGCTAGCCGTGAGAATAAAACAGCACAATCGATTTATAACATTTGGGGAGGAAAAGTCATGCACACGATACACGTACACATGTGCACGTTTAAAACTTAGTAGGTTTTAGATAAATTGCTTTGAAGTTTTATTATTGACGAAATCATCTTTTTAAATAAATCGGTCGCAAACAAAACAACAGCATTTACCTTTCTTTCTATTCAATTTTATTTCGTTTAAGAAAAGGAAAACATATATGCAACGAAATTATACATTGATTGAGTCCATCTTTACTCTCGATCTACCCAGGCAGGTACAACAGATATATTTAGGAATGGAACAGTTCGGATCGGTTTTGCTGATTTCGTTGTTAAACTTTCAATCGTTGGAATCGGTGGAGTATCCTCGTCGTATGTACCATCGAAGTCAAAATTTGTACGTTGAGTTACCATTGATTGAGGACGAGGAGGTAATGGAGATATGATGGACTGATTTTGTTTTCGAGTCCATAATGAACTGCGTCGCTGTTGTCTCTGATCAGCAATCAATGTACCTGCTGATGTGTTCAATAGATTGTCATTTGTTGTATTGAGAACATTACCGGTTTTGATTGGTGGTAAAAGCTTCGCGCGTTTCGATGGTGCTGTCGGAATTGATGTAATACTTATGTCGAATGTATTTGCATCGAGAGCAGTTGGAGACATTGGCGGAGATTTGATTGGCAACGCCGATATTGGAATTCCCTTGATACCATTTGCGGTATTCGTAGCAACGTCGATTACCGATGGAAGAGGTAGAATACCGGTCTGATGCACATCATTATTCGATTGCTGTTGAAAATGTTGAGTTGAAAGTAGATGGCCGTTGGGTGGTTTCGATCGATCGGGATGCAAATCTGTTTGACTGCCATCGTTGTTGGATACTAAATAGAGAAGTTCTGTTTATACTATTAATTGTAAATAACCATCTATCAAGATCGAATCATTCTGTCAGTGTCGGTCTCAATATAAAACCTTGATGTCAATCATCGAATAGAGATAAGTTATATATTGATTAGCTACGGTAGAAATCAATTAAAATGTATATCGAGACCTCGAATATCGATCGTGTCTCCAATCTTGATGAATAACTACTTACACAGTCAGTACATGTAAACCTAAAGATTCAAAATTCGTTTTACTTACATTTGCCATTGTCTTCCAGTGGCTTGGAATTCGTAGGTAAACCAGTGCCACCAGCATCACTCTAACAAATCAGATGAAATATTGTAGATTACATTATGATTATCATACCGATCGCTGTGTGCCGTTGGCTTGATGATTAGATCGATTCGCTAGTATTGACATTGAAGCATGTTGTGATTTCGTATGAGGTAATTTTGTGTTATTTCCCGATGAAATCATACTGGTTCGAGTCATAAATTCATAAATACCATTTGCATTTGTTCGAGTATGAGTTAATTTTTTCGAATGATACTTTTGTGGACAAAGTCGATGTCGGCATAGATAGCATACGGCGATGATAGCAGCAAGGAGGACAACTATGCCGAGAATAACACCTAAAATGATATACCAAGCGACGGATGTTGACGAACTGTCCGAATGATTGACCTACGCATTCAGTTTTAAAGGAGAACACAAAATCAATCGGTCGAATACTTACTATTGACCCAGTATTGGCAGTTGTCGACGTTGGCCAATACGTCGGTGGTGTAATTGTTACATACGAGCCGTTGGGAGCAAACGAACAGAATATATTCGAAATATTTGGCAAAACATAATTTGCACAGTTATTTTGACTCAAGTCAACCGATATATACTTTTGTCCATTCGGTTCCGAGCATACTGCTTGTGTCAATAAGGCAGATCCATTGTAAATGTTCGGAAAATCTTCGATATTTTCATTGATGTAGGAGATTAGATTGTACGATTGACAATCGCAGACCAAGGGATTTTGTGTTAGTAAAACATTCGATATACCGACAACGAAGAAAGCGGTACTCAATGGATCGAGCGTCGAACATGCACCGTACTGTTCAAGTAAAAGATCGGACAGATGCGTTATGTGATTGTCATTCAAATAGAAATAGCGTGGATCGGGGGTTTCAGTTAACTGTTCAACAGAAATTGGAATCGAATTTGTGAAATTCTGAATGATATTATGACTTAAATCGATTGTCATTGCCTTTCCTAAGCAAAGAGAACCGGTTTTGATGACAAGAAAAACGATAATTTACTTGTTTTAACAAATATGGGCCAAAAATCAACACTAGTTAACCGATTGTGACTGACGTTCAATAATACAAATGTTGAAGGAAAACGAACGTATGTCGATGCATCGATAGTCGGCATAGTTCCAAGAGAATTGTATGAAAGATCAATAGATTGCAACACTTTTGTTGTTTTCAGAAGACTTAAATCAATACTTTCAATACTATTCGACGAAACATCCAATTGAGTCAATTTTGAACTCAAACAATTCAATTCCGATGTATCCAATGTGCCATTGATACTATTCGACGATAGATCAAGTACAATTAAATTTGTGTACGAACATATATCGGTTGGTAATCGTATGAGTGGACCGGTTGTGTTGCCTGTCGATGTAATAACACGTAGTTGAGTTATTGTACTTTGCAAACTATTCTGTATGAGTGTTGGTAATTGCGTTAGGAATGGTGTCGAGTTGCAACTAATAATCAACTCGGTATTATTCGTCAGTGTACAATTGCAAGATGTATTCGGACATACATTCGATAGCACAGATTCAAAACATAAGATCTAGTGAAGATCCGATGATTAATTAACTTTGATTTGTTATTAAATGAAATACTTACGATGAAAACAAGATTGAAATTAAGAAGATACTTTCTTTGTTGCATTGTGAAGAGAACTACATATACATTCGATTTATTTGTTTCGTTTGCTCTATGCTATCGATTATTGATGCAACTATAGATTCAATAACAAAAAAAGCTTTTGTTTCGCGTTGCGATGAAGCCAACTAAAACAAGATTCGAACCAAAAAATAATTTGATTTTACTGTTTACCAGATTAAAAAAGTTCTTTTCTTCATTCTGTCGTTAAATCGCAGATGACTGCAAGCTCCCCCCCCCCCCCCCCCCCCCCCCCCCCCGCCCCCCCCGCTCGCGACCCCCCGC